TGATATATGTTGGGTAAGGGCAAAACCCGTTATATAAATTAACATCTCCCCAAATACATCTTGGAAAAAAGACTGCCAATGTTGCAAAGGTTCATAGTTACGTGCAGGCATTTCACCAGAAATAACTTTAGGCCAGTACTGGTACAATATGTACATGCTTGGTAAGGAAACATTACGACAAAAACTCTTCACTAGCAGCATACATGTAGTTCCACATCAAAAATACATCTTTTGGGGCATGGTTTTGTTTTGGCTATGTGTTGTCCTTATTTTCTGTGACATTTCCGTCCATTTTCCATAACACGTTTTTGGAGGACTACGGAATTTAGATTACTGGATAACAAATTTGCACCATTAAAATCTGCATTTACATGTATTTTCATTTTAATCAAACGATGTATAATTTATCCAACAATCTAATGAATTACATATATACATGTACAGTAAGTTTGCAAAGTTCGAGCCCAACAACTTTGTCACGCGCAGTCACATCAAACTCCATTGAGGTGCATTTAATAAAGCTGTTTTCGTTTTAGCAGTGAAAGTGTACTGTAATTTACAGGTACATGTATGGTACACCTGATTACATGGACATGATAAACAGAACAAGATGACTGCCTTTTTCATGGCCTTATGTCCACTGGATTTTTCACAAAATATTCTGCATTTTTCTACATTTTGGGGTTCAGTGGTTGAAGATGGGGCTCAGACAACCATTTGCCAACTTGACTCAGAACAACTTGACTGTTGACACAACTTGACCGGTGGGACAACTCAACTGTCTATGCCTCACAAATGGACAGATAACTCGACTGAAAGGGCAAATTGTCAATCTGATTCGTACGTGTGATGTTACTGCAGTTTAAACTATGCCCACTGTATACAGAGCAACACGGAACCATTAGAACTGGAAGTAAACACACAACTTGAGTGCTCATCCAATGGAAGCTTGCAATCAGTGATGCGTGCTCGTGTATGACGAAGTCACTTCTGAACCAGATTAAAGCAAGTTGACTTGTAATGAGTACACTTGTGCTTAACAGTCACATTGCCCACACCTTTTCTCCAAGTTAAAAAAAAGAAAGGACTGCCAGATAGATTTACTGTCTCCCACACCTACAGACTAGCAACTATTCAGTGTGGTGCAGCTGAGGTGCCTGTGCACTGCAGACTGTGCACTGCACCACCGCGCATGCCGCGTCACTTGTACGGGTAACCAGTGGAGTTGTCCCACTGGTCGAGTTGTGTCAACGGTCAAGTTGCCCCGACTCGAGTTGAGAAACAGTTGAGTTGTCTGACATCCAACATATTCAATACGATAATAAAAATCAGTCCATTAGTATGGTTGATGATAATACCAGAAAGTGGAATAAACCTCCTGAAATGACGAAAAAGCTTTAGTTTGGCTCTTAAACTTGCATGATTTATGCCAATAAGCAGCATTCAGTATCATGATAATGAGAATCTAATGTCAATATCAGCAAAAACTTGTCATTTAATCTGTCAAATTTTTCTGAAATCCCATTTATATGACTTCAATATTTATTGACTATTTTATTTGAAAATACCTATCCATCTACATGTATCTATCTGTATTGTAAAGTTGTGCCTTGAAATCCGACACACCAAATGCTGCCTTCGTTTTTCAAAATGGCGCCGCCCGTTGTCAGCATTTAACAGTACAGGCCGGGTTTTTCGAGGTGCCATACATCCGAACATTTACAATTTTGGAAAGCTTTAGGGTGCTGGTATGAAAGTCCAAACTCTGAGAAATACACCGGTGTAAGTAAAATTGGCGAGTCATTCTTATTTCGGAAGATATTAAGATTAAATCCTGTAGTTTGGTTTTAGGCATTTAAGACGTGCCTTGAAGTAGGCCTGTGGTGGCGACAGATAAGATACAGATTGTAAAAGCGAGCCACTACAGCCCTATTTGTGGGGCCAGGGTTCTGCTAGCCCCACTAGTGTGGCACTCCTGCCCCATCCTTAGCCACACATCCGTATATGCAATTTAGTTTCGGCATACTGAAAATTTTCGGTGCACCCACTTATCATCGTGGGCGCAAGGCAAAAAGACTTGAAAATACCAGAACAACGTGAGAGGCTAAGGATCATCTCCGTGTGCTTAAGAAATTGTGCCCACGATAAGTGGTGCGCCAAAAATTTTCAGTTCACCGAATTTCAGTCACTCTATTATTCTTATCACTTCAACTTCCGGTAAGGTTATGACAGCACAATGTTTCCATGGCGATCAAAAAACGAGCTACGAACTAGTGTCGCAAATACCAGTCTAACGCATACATTAGCGTATGCACGTGTAACTGGACTATTTCGAAAACACAAAAATTTAACCGCCAAGGGTGGTTTCACATGATAAAACAGCTTACCTCGAGCAGAAAACGAGTTATATTCATCTTATACATCATTTTTCTTCTCAAGCCCACAAAGAACAAGCATAGCAGGAATTTCTTAGGGTCAACAGGCACGAAAACACGAGGTTCTATCTCATTCCCAAACTGGGATACTTTTCAAAGCCTGTAGCACATCCAGCTGTGATGCCATTTGCGCATAATCAAAACATACGTATTGTTACTCAACCTCGTTCCATGAGTACGATCTTGCCGGTTAAGGAACGCGCACTCAGCTCATGGAGTCGAGGTTGATTTGTACCATCTTGACAACGTTTAACAACTCCTCGAATGGAACTTTGCTCGCGAGTAGGATACCTTTTATATTTTATTTATTTATTTATTTATTTTTACATAAACCCCTTGCACTTTGTAACCATTCTTTTCACATGGCATTTCATTTTGAAATGAAAGTCACAATGTTAAAGAAAACTATCGAAGGGCTGAGGAAATCCTAGATAGTTTCGCAAGTTTTACGGAAACCCTATTCGCCAGAAAGCCATTTTTGATAATGTTCCCTAGCAGAACCTATTCCATTCAGTGTCATTATGTCAGACAATTCGGGGTTCCATGCCTCACATTCATTTTGATAAATGTCGCTTACAACATTGGGATATAATAAATCACACATTTTAACTTCTTCATCGTCTTAATGAAATGAATCTGTGATGAGCTTTTTTCGCTGCTTCCATTTTGACTTTCAGAACACTTTCGAAACGACTGACTTTGGCTTCGTCTTCACCAGTTTCTGCCATGTTGAGGTTGTGTTCGAAACGACAAGTTCTGACTCAGGCTTGAAGCCTCATTTCTGTTTTGGTCAAAAACGTTACCAAAAATAGACACGTTAAACTCGCTCTCATTTCAATAAGGCCGACTGTGAGTAAGGTGATTGGTCGTGTGACCGTGGTGTCTACCGGATCTGAAGACCCTTCAAAGCAATCACACTATTTTTGTCAGGGAAGTGGGGAAATGGGCCTACATAAAGGGGTTCATTAAAACTTTCTTATCCAACAAACAAAACATTTTGCAGCGGTCTCACAACCATAAAAGTATTAACCGTAATTCCCCTAAAAATAATAACAGTAACGAACCAAAAATAAATTGTGAAAATTGTGCACATTACTGGTCCCGCTTCCTTTAATCTGAATTGGGAGACTGATTGCGAAGGAGCAGGGTTGAAGGGTAAACTGAGTTTCACCGAGGTGTGTCAAGGCCTTTGGAACGAGGGCATCCAAAATTTCAGAACCGTGGGCCAGGTGGTGCAGCGTTTTAGCACTACTAAATCTTGAGAGAGACTCAGCTCTTATCATTTCCTTTATGAAATTTACCGATACTTATCGATATTTTCCACGCTGGGTGCCATACTATAATGTAGCACACTTTCATCGTTAAACAAAATCACAATATTTAGAACATGATTTTCAAAACTATAATTCTACACTCTAGGAAACTAATTTAAGCCGAGTAGGGCCTACTCATAAGGATCCTTGCTATCAACATTTTGTTTTCTACAAAAGTGACCGATAATAATTTCCTCCTTGAAAAAGGAGCAACGTGTATTAAAATGTAAACAGTTGATAAAAACCGTGCTCCATTCGACGTAAATATCTACTTCACCTTTAAAGCTCTGCAAGAGCAGGCGAACTATTCAAAGGGTGGTTGTTTTCCAGTTCGTAAACAAAACATTGTGATGTAAGAGGAACCAGGCTTACGTAATTACAAAAAGACGTTGCGAGCCCTTTGCATTTTTCATCAAAGACGAAGTCATACGATGATTCACACAGTGCATGTGTACAGGATTTACAGTATCAATCTCAAGCCCAATTATAATTTTCTCCTAAAGAAATTTTGCGAAAAACTAACCCCAATATAATTTCATGCCGGCAAAACAATACCGTATGTTTCCTTTCCCCACCGTCTTTGACATTGGTACAGCAGCAATCGTCAGTTCTGCTTTGATCCGAAAAATTAGGATAGTTAAGAACAACTGAAATCTGTTAAAAACTCAAACTGTGACCAACTATCTGTCCATTACGGTGGTAAAAAACATTTCAAGGCCTTTGGGCCAGGCGAAGTCATTATTTTTCAAAATGAATTCACCAAACGTCATTTATCAAACTTTAAATTTCAGGTAATCCTCCCGATTTTGTTCAGATGTTGTGTATTAAAATCAGAGTAAAACGGGAGAGCTGTCAACTCCAGTCCTTGCTTGGGGACCACGGCGTTGCCTCGTTCATGAAAGCTTGGGGGAAGGTAGGAAGGGTCCTGTCCCCTCCCGTGCTGATGCTCTGTCCTCCCGTCAAACTACGGTGCGTATCCTGTTGCCTTATGTGCTGCCTCATCTCGGCTATCATCGCCGGGTAGCTCATATCTGGATTACTGGTGCAACCTGACTGACCTTGGCAGAGTTGTTGAGCAGGGGTGAAGTTGTAATGGGTCTGGGGCGGTTGGGCTCGATGATGAGCCGCACCGTAAGAGTCGAGTTGACCGCCCACAAACTCGTGGCGGGGTCCCTCGTTACCTGTGAAGTACTCATCAATGTCGACTTGGTTCGTTGTGTCACTATCCTTTTGGATTCGACTCTGGTAGTGGGTCGAATTGGGCTCCAGTGCATTGTAAGTAAAGGTGACGTTGTCTTGTTGCACGTTGTTTGGATGTTGATGCAAAGTGTTAGCATACAGCAACTGCCCTGTGTTACGAGCAGGCTGCGCACTGTCTAGGCCTACCCATTGCTCCAAGGCGTTGCTGCCGTGTGGATCAATCACTTGAACTTGTTGCACATCGTCATGACTGGGCTCTTTCTCGAAGTCATGGGCAAACGCACCGTGCTGCATCCCCGCCAAGACGCCATTCGCTCCGCTGCCCATTTCGCCGTGTCCGGTATCGGAAACAGTGGCTGTCCTCTCCTCCCGTGCCTTAGCTGTCCTCATCTCGTCCAACAGCGGGTTTAGTATCTGGTCCAAGTCTGCGGTCGAGCAAAGCCAGTCGATGGTGTCGCGGAGGGCAATGTCGTCGTCATCCTCCTCTTCTTCCGATGTTGACACGCTGGGAAAGTCGAAGTCGACACTGAGCGAAGACAAGATTTCCCGATGAGGCAACAGGAGTGAGCTGACGTCGGGCTCCTGGAAGAAAGACACGGGAAGATTGCGCCTTTTCAGGGGTACTGGCTCATGCCCTATTGGTCTCTGATGTTTGACTTTGGCACCGTCTTCGTCAGCCCCAGAAGTTTCTGCGTGCAGGAGCGCCTTCAAATCAAACATGGCCGAAAGGGACTTGCACTGCGATACATTCAGATGTGCCTTCGTCTCCCTTGAGCGCGTCCCATACTTGGCCCTAGGCGTTTCGCCTGGTTCGGTGGATAATGCAGACTTGGCAGCATCCCTGATCCCCTGCGCGACCTTTTGGTCTCCCATCAGTCCGCCGCTCTGCGACTGCTGGGAGCGCCTCTTGATCTGCTTCTGCAAGTATTTGCGGTGATTGACTTTCCGTCTCGATCTTACCGGTCTGTCCAGGGCGTGCTTGATGTTGCTGGACGCCAAGTCCACGAAATGGACGAGGTTGTTGCTGCTTTGCGAACCCTCGGTCCAGGGAACAGAGCAGCTGTAATTGCAATTGCCATACACTGGCATACCAGCGTACGCACACGCATTCAAAGTCATCACAGTCGATGTAGTGTTTCCAAACGTAACAGATGACTACACGCTTTGTGAACTCGTGTCTGTATTTTCTCCAAGCAGACGGCTATACGGTTTATAACTTATGATCCAAACAACTAACTTTGCCTTGCATCAGTGTTACCTTTGAAGCCCAGTTCGTTCAAGAGTGCTACAGAACCGTCCTTCGGCGGTGTCCTTGTATTTTTGCGATGTTTCCCATGCGCAGCCTCGATCCTTTTTCTCAGTTCTGAAAAGAGTGACCTTGGTCGGGTCATCGTCGAAACTGTTCAAGTGTCGACTGCTTTTCCCGCCCCATGTGACGAGGTGTATCCTCGAATCACGGTGCAATTCTGTGTCACAGGTAAACACCCTGGCATGCCAGAACTGTTAAGAAGTGGCTGAGCTTCGCGTGTATTTGCTTTACGAACTTGAACCAAAAATCCAAACACTTGAAGGGTGTGATTTGGCTGGCCGGCCTGCATGTATTTTGGTCGTGTTACCTTGGAGCCGACACACAATGCAAACTTATTCGGGACAGCGATGACTGCTATGAAAACAAAACCGATGTTCTGTTGTCTCGTCTTTGATTGGTCCAACCAGGTTAATAGAACTTCGTTGTGATGCGGTTAAGTCCCTGGACAATCATAAATCAGGCCATGTTATCTGTAATCAACTATCTTGCCTACACTCAAGTGTTGCTTGAAAATAAAGTTTGAAACGGTCTAAACTGCAGTGCTAGAGCACATAACTTTAAAACGAAGCTGTTCGTGACTGTGTATCAATCTAATCTTTCATCACGTCAAGACGAGCAAAACGATGGTCGTATATGCCAGTGACGCAGTAGTACACAGGCCTACATTTCAATGAAAACAGGACTTTAGAAGAATTGTAGACCGCCTTAACACCCCCCCATAGCGAAATAATGGTCGTGAAGAAAATTGCAAAAAACAAACCGAAGCATTAGGGGCCTAATGTAGATGCTGTTTGTTTTTGTTTGTTTGTTTGTTTGTTTTTTTGGAGAGGGGTGATGTTTTCATGTGATATATATTTAAGAGAAGTAACCAGGTTCAAGAGCGAGTCCTTCCTTATGAGCCGATGCAGTGTAAGATTGGACGAGAGTCACATGCAGGCCTCCATTCCGGGAGGATGCCTCGCCAACGTTTCAGATGTTTACGTACAGGTCTCCAGCTGGGGGTGGAGTCGCCTCTGTCCCTATTAGTCGCTTTACCTGCACTCTAACGTGATGGACCGTGTTTACTGTCAAGACCCGACATTCGATGGGGAAGAAATTAAGAGCGCTTGCAACAGACCAGTGGCCGCCGAGTGGGTGGGGGACGGCGGTCGACTGAAATCATAAATGACCCAACTGAGAAAATTCCAACTGGGGAGGTTGAACATCACATTACCTGAAGCCCGGGCGCTCTTCACAGTGTCACTGGGGGCATTGGTCATGACACAGTCCGTTCTTTTTCGTTGCTCTCACTTGACAGTGGGATGTGGTCATCCCTTTCACAAAACTTTGAAGAAAATACGTCACAGCTAAAGACTCGCAAAGCAGCGTGGGACGCTTGCTGCCTTAATTAAAGCGCCCTTACCTTATACGAACATACAACAGACTTCCAATTTCTTCAAAGACATTCCGTCATGCACTATCGAAGAGTTAGTTAACACACTTTAATAAGGTCGATTTTGGGGGGGGGAGTCAGGAAAAGTTTTACCACCTTTTGGGGTCTGAGCATTACGAAAAAATTTACAGTCGTTTTTGCAAAAAAAATCCACCTCCCGCCCCCGACCCGATACCTGGATACACCACATGGTATTAGATGCTGACATCATCTTCAGGTGTTAGGTCTCAAAATAAATAAGAGCACATTACAATGCACAGAACATTCCACCTTCCTTTATTATATCACAACGCATAATACAACAGCTTACGGACCCATATACTAGCGTACTCTCAGAACACTCATTGATACAACATAAAACGACGTCACTCTTTTAAAATTCCTTATTCGTAAATCCACTTTTTCATAGTTTGCATGATTATTGAAGCGAGACATTACATTCAGTGCTATCTAATAACTCAGAAGAGGCCAAACGCACAAAAACATAAAATCCTCAATGTCACAAACTATCGCGTACATACCGGTATGTGATACGTTACAGTCCAGTTATTTCACCTGAGGTCAAGTCAATTCTTAGCCTATTTTTCCAAGTATGGCTCAAGTCCAAGTCCCATCACTAAAGAGTTGTTACCGGAAAACATCCAAATAGAAAAATAAAACAACTGTAATACATGTAACGAACCGAAACTATTTATTTTGATTGTGTGTTAGGTACTGTGGAGGAATCTGAACGTCTAGTAAATCGCCACAATGAACAGCTAGCCTCCAGTGCAGAAACAGTTTCGGTGACAGAGCAGAACATTTTCACAGAAAATACAAAAGGCCGTCTGTAGAACGTAACAAGTCAGTCAGTTTTTCTCGCACGACACGTGCACGCACGCGCACGCCGACAGTGACTGTCACATTCATTAATTTGGCTTTGCGTGCGAGTCATAAATTGTATACTGGTTTTTCGTAAGGGCAAATCCTTGTATTAAAAACTGTTAGGCCTATATCTACTTCTTACATTATTACTCAACAGCCTGCCGTTAGTATAGGGAGACCAATTTTCCCGTCCTCCTTGACCACTAGCCAAGTCCGAGTCGAGCCGAGACCAAAGGCCACAAAAACGGCATAACTGCTTTCATTATAACAACCTTAATAAGTATCTGCGATATCATTACCTGAGTACGCACTATAGTTTCACGTAAGCAGGTGATAGCGTTTACCTCGACTTTTTACTGCTGAGGGTAACCCTTAGTTTGTGAACTCTGGGGATTTTCATCATTGTACTAGTGGCTTGAGTGATACTTCTGTGGAACAGTGTCACAGTTCGCCTTCTCTGAGATACCCATGATTGCTGGTCATCCCAAAATCCGCTCCGAATATGCTATAATAGAACTAAGTGGTGCACAGGTGAATACAATCATGGTCTACCACGGTCACTACAATCAAGTTTATACATTTTATAAGAATTGAAACAAGAGAAAGAGGCACAATTTAGCTTAACAAGGAAACAAGCGAGCGCAAACAATTTGTTCACAATGGACTAGGTTAACTGAAGGTAATACCTTACCAATCCAAAACAAAGTCGAATAATGCAAACAAAAAATGTTTGTTTGCAAGCGTCTCGCGCTTGAAACTGAAATACCAAGGTTTCCACAGAAATCTGAAGGCTAGATTTTAAGATTTTACCAGGATTTCAAAAAAGTAAAATTTGACACTTTCCATGAGAAAAGTTGTTTTGTATTACGAATTAATAATAATAAAAACTTTTTTATATCGCGCAGATTTCATTGCAAATATGATCAAATGCACATTCCACACAGTTTACAAACATTAAAGTGCAATAATACCATAACATCATATATAATTGGACCTAGCATTGAAATACAGTATACGTCAACACTGGAATACAATGAGCATTAAAATAGCCATTAATTCACTAAAACTAAACACAGTGCATACAGCATTTCACAAAAATCCACACACACAAAATCCGATTGGGACAAATTACCCACAGAAATTACTGAAAAACAGAAGTGAACGGGTGTGTTTTAAACAATACTTTGACTGTCTGCACACCACTGGCACACCTGACACTATAGGGCAGACCATTCCACAATGTTACCCGGCTACGAACTGAGGGGTGGGAGAGGAGGACACATTATTTGAGCTTCGCAGTCTGTAGCGAGACTGTGGTCGAACATAGATTAACTTAGTTAGATATTCTGGACTTAATCCATGTAAAATTTTATATGTCATCAACAATATTTTGAACTTTATCCTAAATTTAACCGTGGGCCAATGCAAATCAATCAATACAGGAGTAACGTGGCTGAACCTAGAAGTCTTCAAAATCACCAACTGGCACATGCATTTTGAACACGTTGAAGTTTACTTATCGGGTTTCTGGTAAACCATAACATAAACTACTGCAGTAATAAATGCGTGTACCAGCATCTCCGTGCTTCTTTGGGACAGAGTCTTTCCAATTAACTTTTAGTAATGCAGTTTCTGTGATGTGATGAGTGCAGTATGCAGACTGATGAACTGGGTACAAATTATTTTTCATAAGGTTAAAATGCAACTGATTAACTACAGCTTCTTCCAACAACTTAGACATGAACTTTGACTGTCGTAGCCACCCCGATAGACTGACAAGGATACAGCCTGTAGTATTATTCCGTTATCACATCAAAAGGGGCCAATCAAAATTAGCCTTGCTGATTTCACGGGAAGTTTCCATTATTTTTCTCCCATCTGACAACAGAATTCCAGGAAACCTTACTTTTCACTATTTTCCGTAAACTTTCCGTGAATTTCTAAGACACAGTTCCCTCGATCGGTCAGCATTTTTCCATGACCGCCGGAAGCCTGAATTCCTGCATTAGTAGGAGGGAATTTCATTTGATCCATGAAATGTTTGAATTTCCACAAAACTCGTTAGCGTTGCCTCTTACTTTGATAAAGATGTCATGAATGATTTCGGAGAATTTTTAAGCAGACTATTATGTCACCTTAAACAGTCAAGAGGATTTTCACAGGTCAGTGATTCAGTGCGCCTATACGGAGAGAAGATCGAGATTTTCGTTTCCGAATGTACACTGTCACCGCAGATTAATTTCGTCCCAATGTATCAACTGCATACTGCACTGCTCGGCTAACAATTCAATTCGTCAAAGTCACTAAGCGTTCACAACCATAATATGGGATATTTATAGGACTTGTGACAAGGCAAAATTACATCTAACGCATACTGTTGACATTTTCTCCGCTATACATAACAATAAAATTTAATGTCCTTACTCTAATGTCCTTCTTGCAAAGGCCGATGGGGTTCGAAACTTAAAGCCGACAAAACATTAAAACAAAACAGCAGTCACTAACTGCAGGCAACAAAAATTATTCCGCTTGATGAGATTTGCGCTGCGATTTCCGCTGGTAAAGATCTACTGCAAAGTGCTTAACTCTGCTTATATCTTAAAATGTTATCAATATCAGTAATGAAGGCCTGTCACTGTATGAAATGTATTTAATTTGTACACTATACCTTTGTGTAAGGAGGATAGTTTCATGGACGTATAATGTTCTTTAAAGGACCTGTCCGTAAATAATTGTCCACTTGTTCTCCAGCCTCTTATGCAGAAGTGAGTGGATCAAAGCAGAATTTAATAGAGGCACAGTACTTGCGGAAGAGGGGATTTAACACATAACCAAAAGGAAGAGGAAACGTGCAACTCTCTCATTTCCATGGCTCGTCTTGATGTTTGCGTACATTCAACGACAGAACAACCTCGTCACTGTCTTCTTCAGCATCTGCCGGAACTTCTTGCAGCTGCCGCTGTAGACGACCGGATTCATGCAGGCCCCGAAGAACAAGATGCCCATGACGATAGACTCGGTGCGCAGCGAGGGTGCTTGGTTGAGCCCGAGGGAGATAAGATGCGTGGCCATGTACGGGCTAACCACAATGGAGAAAAAGGAGACCAAAGCCACCGTGGACTTGATGATACTGACCTCCTCGCGGCTGATTCGGACGCAGCCAGGGGTGGGATCACAGCCCGATTTCAAACTGGACCTCTTACGACCAGGCTCGATCCCGGAAATGGTGGACATCTTCATACGTTTCTTCTGCCTGTGAACATACATGCCGATGCTCAGGTAGCAGGTACACATAATCACGTTTGGTAAGAAACCAAAAGTGGCGAAAACAGCGAGCGTGTAAGACTGGCTTTGCAACCAATCGATTGAGCACACTGGCTTGGATGGGGACCACGCGTAGCCTCCCCATCCCAACAACGGAGCGGTGGCCATCGGTAATGATGCCATCCAAGGAAACACCACGCTCATCAGCTTGTACCTGCGCGTGCTGACAAGCCGGACCCCTTTGATGGTGAGGTACCGGTCCACCGCGACGACGCAGAAAGTCAGGCAGTCCTGAAGGAGGGAGACTGACTTTAAGAAAGCCACAATGAGGCACATGGCTGGGCCGAAGACCCATTGCCTCAGCAGGACGGTGACCGAGCTACACGGCATGACCAGGCCGCCAACGATGATGTTACTGACGGCTAGGCTCATTAAGGAATGCCCGGCCGGCATCGAGAATTGTCGGAGGGTGAGGCACACCAGCAAGTTTCCCGTGACAGTCCCCACAGCCATAACTGCCACAACTACGGCATACCCGATCCGCACCTTTTGCGGCAGGTTGTCTCCGTCCCGTATAGATTCGACTGTATCTGTAGAGTTAACTTGGGCTTCTGAGGGTACGCTATCCATCTCCGCTGATCGAGAAAATTTGTGTGGCGCTGTTATAGGCCTAGTATGATGCTAAGGGAAAGGATGCTGACACAATCACGCCTCGACTGTCAATGAACTGAGGAAAACAAGAGCGAGATGATGATCTGATTTTATACATTCCGTGTGCGATCACTTCTATCTCTCACTGCGGTTGCGCCAACCTGCCACTATGATTTGCAGACGGCACACTGCAGTTTTAGGACGGTCGTGCATCGAACGGATTTGGCAGTGTTGGTAGACAGCCTATGTCACCTGCAGATACATCATCTTACCACAAAACACTACCACGTGTCGCTAAAACCTTACAAGTCAATATAAGAAAAAGGGCGTCAATTACTGGCCTTTCACTCGTTCACGACAAGAAGTAAGAAATGTTTCCTTACAGACAGTGTTGAATACGAGTCCGATCCCAAGTCCTAAGTCACCTCGAATACGAGTTTAAGTTTTAAGTCCTTTTCCTCAAGTCCCACTCTCGATTCACAAATGTTCATGCAGTGTAGGAGCGGATATCGAGGATCAATGCGCGTACAAGTATGTGCATAGTTCCATGCACATCTGTTATTTACAATTACAAAGTAATTGTGTCAACAGCTCATTACTTTTTGACAAACCTACTCAGCCTTTGAGGGCAGTTGCATGGTTAGTTAGTCCGTTAGTTAAATGTTTTCCGTTAATTAAGAATAAATTAAATGTATTTTCAGTTGCTATGATTAAGATTGAGACGTTTACACGTTTAAAAAAGAAATCTCCAACCAACCCTTTTAGGGGATCCATTGACTTAATCTGGCGTTCTTTTTATTGTTAACGACGCCTGTAAAATGTAATATGATTTCCAGAACACTTTACTGCTCCTTCATTATCAAAGGAATACCATGAATTCATCACCGGAACTCTGCCTCATCTATTTACATTATATACAATTTGTCGTGTTTAAAGATTTCAATGACATCGTGGTGAGGGTGGGACTTTTACACGTTTAAACGATATGGGAAAGTTTTCTAAACGTTTTTCAAACTGTTTCACTTTTTTATACACTATTCAGTTCTTTTATCACACACAGGTGTGTGTTGTGCTATGATAAATTGGAGTAAAGTGTACTATGCAAGTAGTCATAAAACTAGACCTTGTTAACGTCATTTCTGGGCCTTCGTTGTTGTAGGCGTGTGATTGCCAAAAAAACCAAAAACAAAAAAACAAAGACTGATTGTTTTTTGTTTGCTTGGATATCAATACTCCTCAACAACGAAGTGGTCTCATTATTGTCTTCTTCAGTGCATTTCTGAACTTTTTGTAGCCCGCGCTGTAGATGAAGGGATTTAGGCAGGCGCCTAAGACGAGCAGAGTTGTGGTGATTGCCTCGACTAGCAGCGAGAGCTCGCAGTTGCGCTAGAGGGAGATCAGGCGCATGATGATGTACGGAATAGCCACAATGGAAAAGAAGAACACCACCACCACCATGGTCTTGAGCACGCCGATCTCCTCCCGGGTGATGTGAATACTGTTGATCTTGGAAGGTGGCGGTGGCCCGGGGTTAGAACGGGTCCTGGACAACGCCTGAATGTCCGGGTTTACCCAGGCTGTGAGGGAGCGAACGGCGAAGGCTCTGGACCTTTGCAAGCGTTTCTTCCTCTGGTGAATGTGCAGGGTGATGCTCAGATAGCAGTAAGACATGAACAGGACCGGGATGAATCCGAACGAGATGAAGCAAAAGATCGTGTACGATGGACTGTACAACCAGTTGACCGAGCACACTAGCTTGTAGCCTCCCTGTCCCAGCAAGGGAGCGGCCGCCGTCAGCCCCGACCCAAGCTAGGGAAACATCAGGTTCGCCACCTTATGACTGCGCTCACTGCATGTGCGCCCTGTTTTACCTTGCGGTACCGGTCCACTGCAATGACGCAGAGAGACAGCGCACCAGCGAAGAGCGACACAGTCTTCAAGAAAGCCACTATCTTGCACAGGACCGGTTCGAAGATCCATCGCCCCTCCAGGAGGGTGAGTGAGAAACATGGCATGGCCAGGGCGCATACAGCGATGTCAATGACGGCCAAATTGATGAGGAACCCCCGGCTGGCATCTGGAGTTGGCCCAAAGTGAAGCACACCAGCGCATTTCCCATAACTGCCACCACCGCCATGACTGCAGCAATCATGGCATACCCGATTCGCTCCATCGGCATCAAGTTGTCTCCACCAGTTAGGTCTGCTACAGTACCTGATGGACAGGCAGTAGAGTTAACACTTAGGTCCGAATGCTCAGTAGCCATTGGGGCGTCTTCGGGGATGGAAACAGGCTCTCTTAGGTTGAGCGCGCTTCATTTGATAGAGCTTTTTTACAGGAAGATTTCAGATACTGCCGGGAAGATAAATTCGAGAACTTCTAGTGGCGACGGATCAGCACTGACAGTGACAACGCTGAGAGGGACGGTACCGACAGAGCCAGTTCTAGATTGTTAATGAAAAGTAGAAACAAGCCAGAAAAGTGCACCAAGCAGTGCATGGCGCCGAGAGACTATTCATTGAACGATATAATTAAGAGGTGCCAATCACTACATTTCGTGAGCGAGGCGTGCGAAAAGACGCAGAGAACAAGGACTCCAATTCATCAGCCCAAACAATCCGTCCAATTAATGCCACAGGAGGCGAAACACAGATCGTTTACAGAGCTCATTAACAGCTATATCGTCCATTAGCCCAAGGACATCCAATGAACATGGTACTCTCTCTTCTGCAGGTCTTTAGTCAGGATTCCACAGAAGTGAATACTGCAGAAAACGTGGTAGCGTCTCTGCCAGGCGGAGGTATGGAAGGTAACTCCAGTAGCTTTGATTTTATCAGTGGTTATCTCTAAAGTATGTGGAACTTGCTGCTGTTAATGATTCTCACGAGTCCAACAGAGGACCCAAGGGCTGCAGTTACCCCATCACCAAAAATTCCACTCACTTCCTCATCTTTCACAGAATTATGTGGCAGGGCAAAACACTGTGACCATTCATTCTTGTAATTATGTACATGCCTTGACAACTTTCGTATTGCCACCCTTGGAGCATCTTTGTGTTCTCAAGGATTACCTGGTACCCCTTGTCTCGACAGTCTTGTCGGTCTGGTTGTTCTGCTGATCAGTGGTTGGCTTTCAGTGTCTGCCTCGTTGGTGTAGGGAGTTGGGGTTACAGGTAAAGAGTACATTCCATTACACCATATCCTAGCTGATAGGAATCGAAGAGCAGCAAGGGTTCACCAGAAGCAGGAGTTTGGTTCTGTTTAGAGTTTTCTGGCTTAGTGCCCTCTGTGTCATCAGTTTCATGTTGGTCTAGTCAGGAGGTACTCTAAATGGCCTTGACTAGCTGGTAACTTGAAGCATTAGCTTTGAGTGTGAGAACATTTTCATCCCCAACCTTAATTGCAAGGGCTTGAACGGTGTATGTCTTCTTCAAGCACAGCAGGTTGTTGTTACTGACTGTTGAAACTCATCGATCAAAGTACACTATGCATCTTCCACCAGAAATTTGTTGACATACTAGTCTTCTCTTTTGGCACTAGCCAATTTGAATGGTAAGGTGGACCTCACCGCTACGCTTATGGAGTGAGTCGATGGTGTCGCTGACATATCTGCACAGTTTTGTTATAGTGTTTCTTCTCCTTATCACTGAGCGCACAGAGTGCCTTACGAGCCCTACCCTCTGGGATCTTCAACATAGGGCCTCTGGGCCTTCGGTTTCTCTTTCAGTTGCGACCACCAACCCCATTGTAGAAAAACAACAGATGTCACTGTCTGCTATGAGTTTATGAAAATCTCAGAGCTCTGGATTAACTAATTTGGGGAAGCCTGGGTCATGTCAACACCCCCCCCCCGCCAGAAAAGAGAGCGTCAACAAAAACAATGATTGTAGGAACTATTTCAAATCCCTTCCTCCCTATAGTACATGACTAAAAACCTCCAAATTCAGCCTCACAGAGGTACCAGAAAGAAATGCTCAATATTCTCCCTAAATGTGGTAATTGATACATACTTCGATGGGTAATTTGGGTAACTTAGTGGCTATAGTCGTAGCCTGAGAAAACAACTCGCTATGACCTTTAACTTCCAGAAATGTAAAGTTCTATGAACCTAAAAGTTTAATATGTAACAAGCCTGGTGTACCTTTGCCATGACATATTTGGCGTCATTAGGAAACAGCAAGCACATGTAGCTACATGCACATTTATCTGTCCTTACACTCAACCATGGGATTGTCATTTAAGTGCACTATTCAAAGTACTGGAAATACAATCCAATCACTGTTTAAAAAAAAAACGAGAGAGAGATAGAGAGGGGAAAAAAGAACAAAATAAACCTTCTAATATACATGCAGTTTGACCTACCTTAAAGAGCCATGTGATACAAACATTTGACTAAAATCCTTGAAATTGCACCTTTGTCCTACACTTGAACTTATTTTCAATATTTTTTCTATATCTGTACTTTGGGGCCTTTTTGGTGATGCTATAGTAGAAAGTTTCAAAGCTGTGATGTAATCCAAGGCACTGAACCGCAATGTTACATTGATTTGTACACCATAAGTTGCTAGGCATTTTAATCCCTGCTATCAAAGATCTCCATTTCCTTGGACAGGTTATTTTTTGTATTTACATGGCAATATGCCAGCAAGCAACCTTTAGTACTTTAAAAAGCAAACTTTGGTTTCATTTTTTGCATGAGAAAACATGCAAACTGAATAGTGTTTTCTCTGAATGACATCACACTTAATAGCACCCTAGCCTATCTGGAAAAGTTTGCTCAAGTTTGAATGTTTCAAAAGATTTCCAACATTTTTCACACACTGAAGTAGAGTTTAAGCATGCACAAAAAATTACTCAAAGAAAAACCTCACAGCATTGTTCTTTGAAAGGGGCATGCCACTCAGTCACTGCTGAAAGTTTAGTAAATTGAGATTGCTTCTTAGGAAATTTAAAATGTTGGGCCAAAAGAATTCAACCTAATGTCTTACACTTACAGAGAAAAAATGAAAGCTTGTTCACCTCTGTTAAAGAAATCACGTGGAAGATAGCATGTAGTTCCACTTGTCCATGCTTAAGCCAAGCTTATGCAGCAACACGGGCAAGGTCCAACACTGTGATCAGTTAATGTCTACGACAGTTCGCTCTTGTTTTTTTTATATCTGTATTAGCAAATACATGTATTTGTGCAAATGTGTTTGTGGGAAATGCCGCTGGAATTGCGACCAGAAGTCCCACATCTTGATTTTACAGAGTCAAAATGTTGACCTCAAAATTTGTTCACTTAATAAATCACACAAAAACCTCATATTCTGAGAAAGGAATTGGGTGAATCCCAATGTTGTCAAATGATGCTGAAAGTGCAATAGCTATTTATAATTTGTTTCGTTGGAGATGGTAAACTTCTAACAAGGATGGACATTTTCATATTAGCCTACATGTGACTACATGTATATGTACATGTACAGGCACGATTACCCCTCAACAAGATTAAGGAGATGACAGGCCAATCAGACACATCGCTGTACACCCATGCCAAGCTGCATTTTTTTTTTTCGTCAGAAGGAAACTGCATTTTTCTGCACTATCAGAAAGAACACTTTCAGAAAAAAAGAGTGCCCACTGTGCATCAAAGGGGAATGGTTGGAAATTGTAGTATACATGTATATTGAAAAACTGTATGTTGACCACACAGCCGTAGTTAATTTTGTGTGAAGTATTGCCACTCAATGGTACATGACGTGGGTAGTAGCAAGGTCCATACTGTATTGTTTAAGGGACAAATGCCACATAACACCGAGTCAGGTCTGAGGCAATGAAGGAAATTGCCTCCACTGCCCCAGGTCTGTGCCGTAATGCCCTTTACATTCACAGCCAATTTCATTTCTAATACAAGTGCCCCTTGGATGGGAAAAATGCCTTGCCCTTCTAAGAATGACGTATCAGCAATGATGAGTGAATGAGAATGGAAACTTTTATTCTTTCACCTTGAAAGTAAATTTTTCAACACTAGGAACTGTATTACATGTATGCTGATTGGAGTGAATAAAAAAGTGATTCAATGAAAAAACCTCACTGCATTGTTCTTTGAAAGGGGCACGCCACTGTCACTGCTGAAAGTTTAGTAAATTGAGATTGCTTCTTAAGAAATTTAAAATGTTGGGCCAAAGGAATTCAACCTAATGTCTTACACTTACAGAGAAAAAATGAAAGCTTGTTTACCTCTGTCAAAGAAACAGAATGTGCGAATGTGTTTGTGAGAAATGCCGCTGGAATTGCGACCAGAAGTCCAAATGCTTCATTTTCTGGAGTCAAAAACTGACCTCAACATTTGTTCACTTGATAATCACACAAAAACCTCATATTCTGAGAAAGTATTTGTGAATCCAAATTTTGTCAAATGATACTGGAAACTGCAATAGGGACAGCTATTTATTATTTGTTGTTTGGATATGGTAAACTTCTTACAAGGATGGACATCATATTAGCCTACACTTGTTTATACATGTAGTAGATTGTTGGTTTTCTCACTGTTTAAAGCCAATCCCCTCTTCTTTTTGCGTATTAATTCATCCTGTAATGGCCAACTCTTTTTCATACTTTTACCTGATCAGGGTGAGATTTTGCTCACTATTCCTTATGTCCGGCATGTCCTTGAGTGATATTTATAGCCCCATACTTGTCTCGTAAACATCCTGTACAAATTCTTTGACACACCCAAGCATGAGATGCATACTGACGGTTTCCCTCCTGTGCAGTTTCCCTCCTGTGCGTGCAAGATAGAGTTGTAAGTCTTCAAACAAAGTGTTTCAATGAGCAGGCCTTTAGCCTGGGGATCACATCAGTCCTCATTAGTCATGTTAAATGACATGAACTAAGAAAGAAAAATAGCAACTTGTTTCCTTTCTTCAAGAACATTTTAGAGTTGTAAGTATTCACGCAAGCACTTTGTTAGAGGTGTTTACCACGGATGTGTGGAGAAGTTGGCCAATTATTTTTTCACAAACAGCCTGCACGAGGACAAAATTACATAATTCTGGACATGGAGAATATGAACAACACAGATTTTTAGCTCCGTCCTCCAGGTTGAAAAGGAGTAAACAGCTGTGTTGTAAAAAAGTTTTCTTCTGCAGGATGAATACAGGCATTTTACAATAGTGAGCCTCAAAGAGTTTGCAATGCATTGACCAATCACAGTGCGTGAAGTCTGTCAACCCGATGCATGTTTGGAAAGGGTCAACAGATTTTGCTCACTGTGATTGGTTAACGCATTGCAAACTCTTGGAGGCACACTATTGTGAATCGCCCGTATTGAAAATCTCTACATTAGTTACAATGTGACAAACAGATCCAAACTGGGCTAGCCTGAATATTACTAGTATCTTGAAGCAAACTTGAATTCTCAATTCTGATTGGTCAATCCATGGCAACAAACAGTGTGAAATTTAACTGTGTTGTACGGTCCATGTCAAACCCTATGTAATGCATTGTTCTTACTCCACGCAGTGTGCTGTTTATATGCCAAAAGCAAATTGCGCAACTGCAAAATTTACTTTTAATTCAAAGGTGGTGCATTTGTGCACATTGGCCCCTATAACATCTTTACTGTGCATTAAGTTTGATTGAGGATAAATTTGTTATCATGCTCGCGCTCATGGAACACTTTTCGGCCTTGTGGTATATGAGACACAGACGTGCTACATTATGGAGTTCCACTTGCTCTCATGTGATAACTAATAATGTGGCTTTATGGCTGGTTGTACAGTGAAAACAATTGCAGAACTGGTCCATGGCAAAATACATCCACGGAGTCTGACCTTAGGCAAAAAAGCAGTCAGACAAAAAATACAGTAGTTAGCACAATCCATTTTATTCTGCCATTATCTGCTTTTGATAATGAGCCTAATTAACAAAGTCTTCAGCATGTACAGGAGCAAAAACATTAACAAGATTTTGTTTTGGGACTTTAACCTTGACACTTCCCTCTATCATTTTATCAGACCACGTCTTCTGTGGTCTTATAAATAACACCAGGGATTGGAAAATGCCAAATGTCAGACCACAATTACATTCTCCGTACAGTACGTAAAATGCACATTATTCTCCAGCAAACTGCAAACTGTAACTAGTACAAACACTCAGTGGGCCTACGTATAATGGTGACACAGCACACATGTACATACCTGTTTTATTTTGCCAGCATGTCCATTGTTTATCGCCTGTATTCTGTTGTGTTGGCTAAAAAGACGTGGGGCCTCAGCATTCTTTGAGTCTCCTCTTGATCATGTCACAGTTCTAAACGAGAAGGCAATTCTATTTTGTAAATACAAATTCACGGCTACCCCTAGAATGAACCCCGTAGTTCCACGACAAGGCCTGGAGAGTCAGTCTCGAAAGCCAGGTTGGATGGGGGGACAATGGGGCCATGCATCCCAAACCTGGAGCAAAAAAACTTCTTTAACGATAAAAAATGAAAGGCAATGTTTTGCTCTAGACCCATTTCATTTCTCTTTCTTTCCGAAGCATGTCAAATGCCCCCACAGTACCATTACCTCTCTGGAAGGCCATGAAGGGTTACTCGAGAAAAGATTTCCGAGAATCTGCCCTTGCTGATCAAATGTAGGACCTTGCTCAAATGTAGAGAGTTCCAAGGAAATTTTATTTTCGCCTGATGTTTGGATTTTTATTTCAAAGAGCAGAATGACCTACAATGACTTCTGGGAGTCTTGGCACCCCCCAAAAATTAAAAATTCTTTGTAGGCCTAGGTCTAATTTGGTTGGCGTACGTGAGTCAAAATAGGCCCGAGTCTGAGAACGATTTATCAAAATTTACCAGTTTTTAAGAGATTCTCAATGTAGGCCTGAATGTTAATGTGGAATTTTCTTGAGATTTGAAGTGTATCATATTAGAACACAATAGGCTTACTTCTGGAAGCCAACAGGCACTCCCGTGTGCAAACAGACTTTTGGTTTACAGAAGTAGGCCTAGCCCTGGCCCCACACGTAGGGCTGTAGTGGCTCACTTTTACAAACTGTCTCTGACGTCTTATCTGTCGCAAAACTACAGCCCTACGTGTGGGGCTAGCCTAGCCCTAGCATGGGAACATTAATTGATGCTACCGCTTTTTTTCAACAAAAGGTTTGGCAAAAGTGCACAAGGAAGGTCGAGGGAAAGTTGAACACCACGCGTAGGCTGAGGACTCCATTGTCATTATGTTTCACCAGTGTTTTTTTCTCTCTCTCATGCAGGTCCATGTCTGTGCTTTCTTTTTCACTAACCTGCTAAAAAGTTAGGCAGCCCGCCATGCCAACACGTACACCCGGAACACCCCACTGCTCATTCAGCAGAGCACTCCGAACTCGTGCGGCGGAAGGTGTGAAACAACCAAGTTGTCTACCAAAACTCATACGGCAACATACCAAAAATTGGCTTTTTTCTTCAAGATGACCCAGCCCTGCTGGCCATCGGCTGTGCAGTCCATGTCAAATATGTCAAGCAGAGTCACCACGAAAGTGAGATTGCAGGGACCCGTTTATTATTGAAGATGGCGGAACATAATTCGCCGAAAGTTGTCCGCACGCGCAATATTCATATGAGCGCGACACAGACGTGTCTGAGATCTGTGATACGAGCATATCGCATGACATCATCAAGCTAGTCGTAAGTAGCCGTTCAAACACATTGCTACATTACTCGGCTACGGCCGGCCAGCTGTAGAAATAACGCGTAACTGTGAAAGCCTCTATACAAACCACTAGCTAGCGACTCTACATTTTTTAGGAGGCTACGAAGAAAGGAGAAACAACAGTAAGATTATAAACCATGTACGGACAGAAAAGGCGAACAAAAGCGAATTTTCCGACAAATTTCCCTTTCGATATGTTTATTGTCCACCATGTTGAGGCCCACGGTAATTTATATATAATATATATGTATACCATCACAGACTGTTTTGATTTACAACAAAAAAAGAAAGAAAAGAAAATTGATGCTTTGATCCTCCACAGACCTGTATGAATGATTCTGTAAACGAAGCAACTTTCAAATGAACACATTGTATTCATACCGTGTCTGCATAATGTAGTGTACGTGACTTCTGCAGTCAAACCACAAACTATCAACAGCCTAAATATTTTTAAGTTGACCCCAAAAGACACATAAATAACCAAAGACAAGAGGGGATAACCAACAAAAACCAGAAAAAAAACAGAAAAAACACACAACTCGGATCACGAGAGTATTGTTTTTGATCTAGCGCACTAGCACTACCAACAAGCATGACAAGGTTCTTTAATTGGCCCTTATCGAAACAGGGTCTTCCAAAGGCGGCATTTGCATTTCTGGCTTCGGTTGGACTTGGGTATCAGTTTCTCAGCACATGTAAATGAACAGTCCGTTATGTCACTACGTAAAAACTGACAACTGTCTGGCTGGAGTGCGTATACGCAGGGAAAACAAAAGGGGATTCATGCATTAAAGGGCGATGTAAAGTCACGGGAAGTTAAGCACAGATTTGGAAAATTGCCTCCATTTCAACATCAACGCATAGACCCATCTGGTGCTTAACGTACTCCTTCACCGTACAATAGGATTTATTTCGAATAACAACTTTTTTAAAAGAAGGCTATGCCAGAGGATGGTAGAAAAATAAACATAAAATTGATTTACGAACTGAGGTCAAGCACTGTTACTTCTCTCAACGAGTTGATGAGCTATAAAAACTGACCGCCAGTAGGAGAATAAACTGACCGTTCAGGCTGTCTAGTGACTTTACTGTTCTTTCGACACTGTCAATAAAATAATCACAACCTCCGCAAAGTGATTTTGACTTGTTTCCATTTGGCCAAAATATAGTATGCTGAACGCCTACCATACCCTGTATGGTCTTGTTTGGTATTACATAAAGCAGTCTTTGTGCTGATGGCGTTTTAAAGTTACTTTCAAACGTTGGTGCACGATCACTTACCTCTTGCGAACCAAAACAAAATAACAACTACAAAAAAAAAAAGGACTTCAGTACTGGCTGACCAATCTCTGAAATTTCTAGGGAGAACTGCCATGCAGCTGAATGCTTACAGCAAACAATCTGCAAAGGTATTGAGCTAAACAAACATGTAGCTGTAAGACAGTTATCTATATTCCAATACAAACACAAGTGCCTAGCTCCATGTGGAGTAGTCCCTCAAGTATCCGCAGCATACGGGTGATTAAGTGCATGCTCTGACAGACTGTCTGACAGACAGACAAAATGAAAGCCAACTGGTCACGAATAATCTGAATGCACAGAAAAACTTTAAAACCCCAAACCAAACCAAACAAAAACAAATAAATACATCAAATTGAAGAAATAATAAACTGCAACATGTTGAAGGCCTACATTTGCAATGAGTACACGGAAGGAAACAAGAAAATAAAAATATAACATTTACAAGATTTGCAATGATTATTTACAGTTTGAATGAAACCGCTGGATATACAGGTTTGTCAGAGAGAATTGTATAGTAAATAAAAAAGTAATTTATGCATGGTCACTTTTACAATCAGGGTAAAAGTGGCCTGCACTTAGTTAAGTGGCACAAGAAGTGAATAACTTAAAAGAATGACACCATTAGATATACAAGTTTGTCAGGGAGAATTGTCCAGTAAATAAAAAAGTAACTTTTGCATGGTCACTTTTACAATCAGGGTATATTTTACTGTGGCGTGCACTTAGTTAAGTGGCACAAGAAGTGAATAACTTTAAAGAATACACCATTAGATATACAGGTTTGTCAGAAAGAATTGTACAGGAAATAAAAAAGTTACTTATGCACGCTGACATTTAGTCATCAGGGTATTTTACTGTAGTTTGTACTTAGTTATGTGGCACGAGAAGTGAATAACTTTAAAGACTTAACTGTGAAAAGAGGACCTGTCTAAAGGTCTCAATTAGTACTTCACACACAATCTAATTTTAAAAAGGCCATTTTTTTTTGTACTGAGACGTTTTTGTTTCTTTTGTCTTAATTTTAGGCACACAAGATCATCACCGACTATATAAACAAATTGCAAAGATGCTAAATGCAAACTTTAAATAGATGTACTTTTCCATCTGACTGATGCTTCTAAAATATACAAAACCTTTTGAGTATCAATTGTATATATTTATGTAGTGTATAAAAAAATTTACAGTTTATCCACAATACTGTGTACAATGGAAAGTGAGCAATTCATTAAGTAAAAATGAGAACTGTGAAATCTATCCACACATTTATCTGTACAAATACATTAACGTTTTTGCCACCTTCATGAAAAAAAATACATTTTCAAATTGCTGACTTATGTGATACAAAGGCGAAATGGTGCATTTGTGGTCACATGTTCTGCCAGTAAGACACTAAAAGAACAAAATAGGTTATTCTGCTGTTGAAATAACCTGGCACGGTCAAGCACGTGGGGTTCACTGCGGGGAGAAGGCTAACTTCAATGCACAGTAACTTGGGGCTACTATGAGGCGCCCAAAGGAAACCCTGTGAAAACCTAGTCAAACTTCAAGGTAATTAGCCTCGGATTACCATGTTTCCTATCACATTCTCCTCTGAACTTGCCTGGCAAAGTTAATTTTTCAGGCCATACGTGTCACCTCACAGAATCATCCTCTAATAAGTGTGACTACAAGACCAGACAACTGACACTCTTTCCCCTCACAGAAAACCAAAAAAACCCCGTTAGGTGGCACAGTCTGGTCAAAATACAGACCAGCTTTGTGACGGACACATTCCCCAGCCAGACACAACATAATTATGACTAAGTTCACAAGTACGGAGGGGAGCACACTTGCGTCTACCCGTTCTGTATTTCTCTAAAGCTTTGAGAAAGAAACTTAGCATAAAGCAACATGGGCTTTTCACATTAGTGCCCCTACAAGAGTTTGCAACGTGTAGGCCAATCACAATGAACTAAATCTGTCGACTCAATGTACGTTTGGAAAGGGTCGACAGGTTTTGCACACTGTGATTGGCCAACATGTTACAAACTCTTGGAGGCGCACTATTGTTACACACACGTATTCCATTTCACTGCAACCAATTTTTTCTTTTGGGGTCACAACCAGAATCGAGTCTTTCATCACTACTGAGCACCTCGAGGTTGTTTACCCACATTTCAAATGAGCAGCACAGCCAACTGGGGCAAGGAAATGATCATCAGGTCTCTTGGTATTCTCTCAATGGCGACCACAAAAGCAAGTGGGTGCTGCCGAAAGGGAAACGTGGTCAGCCCAAGGTCAAGGATCTGTGTGCTTGATCTTCTTCAATGCCTCCTCTGAATGTCTCTCATCTGCACCTGGACTGGGTCAAGTGGTTCTCTCTGACCCGTCCCGGCCTCCAATTCACTATCCCCTCTTGAACTGGTTTGTCCTCTGCGCTGCTTAACCACCCCCCCCCCAAAAAAAGGCTCAATAATATCAGGCTCTGTAACCACTCCAGCCTACTTGAGGTGTCCGTCGCCATGGTAAAATGATAATATTTGCCCCGTCTATTATTCTGGAGTAGGTATTGTGAATTGTAGATTCTTTCTGTTGCCTTCAAGTGGAAAAGTGTACATCCACTTTTACTCAAGGCTTTTGAGCAGTCCCTGATTTCCAAGGGCTTTTTAAGATCTTCCAATTTGCCCACAGTCACTTCCAATCAGAGGATTTACGCTGCTTGCCATAATTTACTGGTGACTACAAAGTGGGACGTATCACTGTGAAAATCAATTCTGCATGATAAGGATACCAGACCTGATGATTTTTAGGCATGTGCATGTGTCATTGTGGTTCAAAAAGGCACAAATCTGTCTGTACATAACTGCACAGATCATGCCACCCATGATATAATGTTAGATAATGTAACAACTTGTGTGTCAGTTCTTAAAATCTGGTCCAAAATAAAATTGCATTCAGAGGTCTGAAATATTCCTGAAATAATAATCTGTAGCTACTCTGCCTTATAACTAAAATAGCAAAAAGCTAAAGCAGGAATTTCAAACTCTCTTTCTGTACAAAAAATGGTGCACAAGCATGTATGATGCATCACAAATGGAGCTTTTGCCAATGTTAGCTCTGGAGCATGCGTAGGGTGCGCATCAAGGCTGACAGAATGGCCGCCATGGTCTGGGCTTGCCGTAGCAGCAGTTGCATGGAAGGATCGTGGAGGTTCTTCCCATGAGCCTCTGTGGCAGCAGAGAGGACATTGCTGAAGTTAATAGCAACCTCTTTCGTCTGTAAAATTAAGAGTACACATTTCAAAATAAAAAGATGTGAATAATGCGGACGGTTTGCTTTAATCTAGGCCCCAATGCAAAGTTTGTGTGCCCTGAGAAAAAACACTTCACATGGTGAAAATTTTCCTATCATACTATATAATAATAATTTTACATCCCACAAAACAACAAATAATCCTCTTTTTACGGAGCCCCTTGAAATTTTTTTCTTGTTTTGTAAGCTGGTAAGGTTCGGGCAAGAAGCAGGAAACACATTGTCCCCAGCAGTATGCTCTGCTCATTGTCAGGAGAATTAAGTCATAAGTGGCTACCCTGCAGGATCAACCCAAGGCATAGAGGTGGGAGCGCCCAAGGCAGAGATCTACCCTCTTGGCTCACAAGTAAATAAAAAGCCAATCATTCCACAATTTTCACAATACATTACCCCACAAAGAGGTTGTCACAGAGAGGCCATTTTTCCAGTTTGTGGTTGACAAATAAAGGACCATGAGTTGCATTTGAATGAATGTCAATAGACAATGTGAGAAAATGTGTGACTGATTGGGGCTTTCTCTGCCTTGCAAAATTCCACTATTTCACATTAATTAACACCGATACTCTAAAACTTCCAAATCTTAAACCCACACAAAAAGATAGGTGAACCATTCAAGCTCCACATACACTGCACAAAGAACTTTTGTTAACTGTTTTCCCACAATGTACTGCAAATGCCAAACAGGTCATTTTGTGAAATGTGTGGTGAACAACCATATAGCCTGAAATACGGAGAATCCAAAAGTGAGCAGCGATTGCCAGGCAATACAACGGGAACATGCTCAGATTTGGCAATTTTCCCTTTAGCTTTGCCACATGCATGCAAAATAAATGGAAAGCATATGCAAGTAAACAAAATGACTCCTGAACATTTTCCACTGCATCACATTGGGCTGAAAACTTTTGGCGTCAACCTCAGTGCAAATTATACTTCAATTTTTTTTTATTCAATGACCAAGTTGCAAACAGCAGATTGGGTTATCATTACACCTACAAACTCCAATTTGGTCTATTTTTTCTAAGGAGGACAGCTAGAAAACCTAACTGGCTCACAGTTCCCAAAAATCTCACCTTGTTCCCCAGGTTGGTTGCCTGCAGGACCGACACCATGGCCTTCATCGTCTGCTGGGCATCCGAGCAAAGTCTGGCCAAAGTGTGCATGCTGCTGTTAACGCTCCGGACCAGCTGGTCCTCAGACTGCCCGGCGCTGCTCACAAGCATCTTTGTGTTGCTAGTGAACTCCCGCACCTCCGAGATCAGGGACTCCTTTGAGAGCCGGAACTGCATCAGGCTAGACGCCGACTCTTCCGCTCGGATGCAGTCCTCCAGCTCAATGATTAGGAGCTGGACATCCCCCAGGGCCATCGGGACAGACCGCTTGCCCTGGTACTCTTTGCTCTCCAGCTCCAAGGTGTAGGAGTCTATGGTGTCTGAGTTGGTACCACCTCTGCCGTTGGACTGTGGGCTCTTGAATGACTGAGGTGGGATGAAGTGCTCTGGTAGGGCCCGGGGTCTAGATTTGACAGGAGGCATGGACACCGGGAGGGGAGGAGGTGAGGAGAGGTCATCAGAGTCGTTGCTGTCTTGGTCCTGCCCGCTTGGGCTCGGAAGAGGGACAGGAGAGGGGAGGACCTCTGATGAGGAGGAGGACAGCGAATCATCTGATGGGTACATGGCCTTCCTTGGGGAGGCTGGTGGGTTGTTAGGTCTGGGAGGAGGAGGGCGTTTTGGTAGGGATGCGTGTATGGATCCTGGCCCTGGATACTTCTGGGTTGAGGATGGAAAGGAGATGGGCCGACCCGATGCCCGGCTTAGAGATTGGCTCTGCCGGAGTTGTGAGTGTGAGGATGTAGGTGGATACTCTGAATCCACTGACTTTGATTTGGTTTCATAAAGGGATACCCTGTGACTAACGGATAAGTTGGAGGCTGGTTCATATTCTTCAGTGCTGTCACTCAGGTCGAGAGAACCAGGTCTCTGTAGGCCTCCAACAGATCGCAGTGAAGAGCACTCCCGGAAGGTAGGTTCAGTAGCTTTGTCTCGCTTGTGATCAAACATGGAGACATCGTAGGAGTCTTTACGGGACAGCGACCTGAAGGCCCTCAGTGGTCTGGGCCTCCTGGATTCCTTCTTCTCTGTAGATGAGGTCGGCAGGACGGACTCATCAGCTCTGCTGCTTTTGGAAAAAGGTTTTGGCCCCCGAAGGAATGAAAAACTTCTCTTTGGGGACAGCAACTTTGCGACAGAGGAGGGACTGGAGGACATGAGAGAGTTTTTAAAACTTTGCTTTTCTTTGGGTGACAGTGGCAATCCTTCTGAAGACGTTGATTCTTTGTTTTTGATAGGTTTTGGAGGCGGCGGTGGAGCCTGTCGCTTGATTCGCTTCAGCTCTGGGGTACTTCCAGCTGAGAAAGTATTGCTTCTCATCACTGGCCGACTGCCTTCACTGGCATCTTTGAACTCAATGTCCCCAGACAATCGCTGACCGAGGACAGTCTTGACATTTGTTGTTTGTCTTGTCTCAATATTTTCCACTCTTCCTGGTTCCAGGTTTACATTATCTCCCTTACAAGAATTCGGAGGCAAATCCTCATCATCGTGAGAAATGCTGATTCTTGCGGAATGAAGGAGAGGACTTTTTGGTGCAAAGGATGAGGACCGCTTCACAGGCTTTGTTTGCTCTTCGATCTTTCTCAGATATTCCCCATTCTCCTGATTCAATTTCAGAGATGATGATTGCCAAAAGCCACAGGAATTTCCATCACCACTTACGCCAATGTCGACTTCATTCGGGAAGGTTTTCTTTGCTAACCCTGGTGAGTATCTCTTCCTCGGAGGAGGCACAGGTAAATTCTTGGATGTCTTCTTTGCCTCTAGTTTCTCACAGGGCTCGGAAGTGTCAAAATCCCCGCCGGTCAGACTGTCCACACTTTCCTGGCGATCCATCTTGGGTCGCACAGCTGGTTTGGGGGGCACCTCAGGGGCTGGTTTTGTCCCATGTGGCTCCTGCCCTTTACTCAACTGTGAAGTCTGGTTTTCTGCCTTAGGATCAGCACTGGAAGATTTAGTTCTACAGTCCGCCTCAATGTTATCTGGACATCCAGATACAGAGCCTGAACAGGTTTGAAGAGTCTTGGAATTGGCACACTCATCCCCCTTACAAGATGAACCATTTTCACTGCCTCTGGTATCATTCGCTGATCTGTTTTTATCCCTGAGGAACTCCTCTGATTTTTGACCCACACATTGTATTCCTGCCTGTCCAACACTTTGTTCAACTTCTGGCTTGTCATAAACCTCTCCAACAGTGACACTGACCATGACTGATCCCTTCTGCTCTAGATCACCGGGATCAGGCTGGGAGAATCCACTGTCCTGGCTGGAGGACATCGTGTTGGAAATGATTTTCTGAGGTCTGCTTCTCTCCTGGGAACAACTGGGATGAGGTTCTCCCACAATGAGGGTTGCCTGGTTCTTAGCAGGTGATCGGGGACTGGTCTTGATTGGAGACCTCGTCCTTTCTACTACTGCTTCCAACAATGGCTTGACAGGGGTATCTTCCCTGGGGCTTGAAGTGGGAGGACTGTGGTTGTCCTCATGTTCTTCTGGTACCTTTATCTCGAGAGCTTTGATCTGCTGGCCTAGTGCTTTCCCTCCCGTCAAGTTGATCATGACTGTAGTGCTGTAACGGCTGCTGGTTGTGTCTTGCACTTTCACAGGAGATTCTGTAGGTGAGGCTAGTGAGGAAGTTGCAGGGGATTTGGATGGTGGCGGGACTATCAACGACTCTATAACCCCAATGTCAAAGTCTGAAACTGGAGGTGGGGGGATAACAGCTTTCATCAATTCCTCATCAAGCTCGTCTGATTCCACAGGAGGTGGGGGTGAGTTGATTAGGGAAACTATCAGGTCATCTTGATTCTCCCCTTTTTCTCTACTGTCAACTTGTTCTTGGTTATCAATTGCCCTCTCTGGACCTTCCAGGGCACTTAGGTTGGGACTGCTGCCATGAAGGGTGGACACACTGTCGGTATCAGATCCCAGACAGGAAGAGACTAGGTTGGGCGCAATGTCCTGTTCTTGCATTTCTTCAGCCTGCTCTGGTGTTGGAGTAGGGTCCCGATCAGCTGGTTCTATCTTTGATCTCCTGCCTCCAATCATGCTGAAGTAGTCAGAAGGGGAGTGGCTTGCACCCGGCTCGTCTGTAACGCCGTTGTCTATGATTTCTGAGGAGATGGTCTCATTTCCTGAATCAGACTCGCACTCTGGGTCTCGGTGCGGGGACCTGTCCAAAAGCTCTCCTTGCTGGTCAATGCTGACATTTATCGCATCCAGGGCTGCAAGCTGGATGCCGTGGGCTTGGTCTGCAGTCTCCTCCTCATTCTGATCAGGCAACGGAAGATCGATGATGGACACAGGCACTGGGGAGTCGCAAGTGCCTCTGATATCAGGTTGAAGATTGTCTGTCTCATTGCTGACATCCCCTGAGTAAACTGTGGAGAGGTCCATAGGCAGAATCTCTGGATTTGTTTGCAAAATGGGAGAGTCCTCTCCTGCTGAGCTGTCAGTGAAGGACACATGCGTGAGGTCTACGATGTCACTGTCCACACTAGAGTTGGAATACGAAGAGTAGTTGCGGAAAGACTCCATCTTTGAGTCCTGGTGATCTTCAATGTCACTCGTCTCTCGGTTTCCTTCACCTGTCTTTTTCTTTTTAGTATGAGCCAGAAGTACTGAGTCCTGTGGCATCAATACTGTCTTCTGCCCTATCACATTCTCTTCTGATGGGGATGGCGACATTGCACAAGAATCACTGCTGACTTCCTCTTCCGCTTCCCTCAGATGTTTGTCATCTTCGATTAGTGGCTTGTGGATTTCCCTAACAGGAATCAAGCTGTCATCATTGTAGATGGCATAATGAAGCAGCCTCACCTGTCCTTCAGTCTCCTCCTCTGTGGGTGAATACAAGGCGACCGTGTCACTCATGTCAACATGCTTGGTCAGTGGCTTCCTGGCCTCCATCCTGCCAGCCTGATCCTCCTCAGTCTCCGAGAAGACCTTCTCGTCTGATCCATCGATGGTCATTTCCTGCCTGCTCACTGGGGGTCCCGGTCTCTCATCCTCCCCAGCGTCCGGCATTTTAACCTCAAACATGTCCTCCACCATGTCCGAAAGGCGGGTGAGGTCAAGGGATTTCTCACTCCAGGAGGAGGAGGAGGAAATGGTACTTGTGTCCGACTTTGAAATGCCACCACTGCCATCCAGGGAGTTGTTTGCATTCTGGTGGAGGACTCCCTCTTCTTCCTCCTCTCCCTCTTCATAGATGGTGAAGGACATGACAGCTCCATCGGGCTGTCCCCCTGCAGCTTCCATAGGATGGTACCTGCCTTGCGATTTTAATCTACAAAGGCAAACAAAGTGGTGCATATTAATAATAATGATAAAAGACATTAACAAAATGATTTCCATGTCATAGACATCTCAAAGCGCTGTACAATTACAACAATTCACAACTTAATTAAAAGTATTAAAAGTAAAGATGACAAGAGATTAAAAAGCTATAAAACAATTAAAACTACCAATTAAGAGAAGTATTCAACACTTCAAAAAGGAGATGCTGTCTTTAAAACCCTAACCATTCTTGATTATTCAAAATCAAAAAGCTACAAGTGCACTGGTTTACTGGCTGATTCAGATCAGTCTCAGGTACTGAGTTACAGGCTCAGCCGGTAACTCGCCCCCTTTGAGGACGATTCATCAAACAGGCCGAGCTACCGGCCGGCCGGTACATCAACCGGCCGAGGAAGGATGTCCCACCTAAGGATGTGAGATTAGAACCACACTTTGCTCTCTGAACAATGGATGCTCAGTGCTGTACAGGAAACAGTGAGACGAAAACATGGACCAATCCAAAAACACGGACTGGTTGATATGAATCCGACAAAATAGCAGGTGTAGCAATTGAGACATACGAGGGTCATGTGCAATCCACCTGTTAATGTAATTGACATCCTCTTCATATGCTGGTGGTCCTGCGCACAGGTCTACAAGGTACTCCCCCTCTCCTATCCGGCTAATATCCCACTCACTCCGCCCACCCTCCTCCTCTGAGCCCCGGATCAGCTCAGATGCCAGGTCATTGGGGTAGTTCCATCCGGCCAAGATCACGCGGTGTTTACTGTGGTAGGCTGGTGCTGCAGGGCAAAGACAGAAAACCTGTGATAGACTCGTCTCTTTGGGCTGTACTCCAATGTCACTTGGTTGCTAGTTATGATGCAATGTGACATCATGCCTGGAAATGTCTTACCAGGTTCAGAGTTGTGAGATGAAAAGGGAAGATTTTCTTTGGACCCTTTTGTTTCACAGTAACTTTGCTCAAGAACTTTTAATGGCATGTCAATGAGACAACAAGAAGAGCACCCTCTGTCTTCCAAAAGTCACAAGTATATATAAAAAAGTTGGGGGGCTCAATTCTGATGCAATTACGAGAGAATTTGATGTACATTGTTCAAATAAGGGAAAATACATAAACCATAGCACGTTTTAGCATAAAATACATTTAATTGGGAAATGAAGGACTGGTAACATGTGCAAGGGCATTATGGTGGGCGAAACTAAATCTGTGACCTGTTGATTCTTTTTGGCCTTTAAACTGTTAAGTATGAACTGACATTGTCTGTTCTACATTCTCAATGACATATATCAGCACTTGCTTTTTTTCTCTCAGAAAATCAGTACTATGAAGCCCAAATGTGCCATTTTTTTTCCAGATTATACTTCTTTTGATTAAAAGCAGCTAAAACAAAAAATGCTTTTTTATGGACGCTAGGTTGATCACAGGAACTAACCGGGGCAGGATTCGAACCTGCAACGTCCTGAATGTGGTACGAAGTGTTCATGCCATCGTTAAAATTGAATATCCTGCAGGCACCATATCTTCAGGTTTGGAACTTCCAACTTCAAAAAACAGATTGCTACATGGCTGAATTCGTCAATTCCTTGAACAGTATTTCTGGGGACACAACTTCAAATTACACTCCAACTGCAAAACCTTGTCAGGGGACACCGTGGGACACCAATCATTTGATGGAAGGCCGCAGATTTTACGAGCAGAATGATTGGGAACATCTCCCCACAGGTGATGTGACATCAGCAGGATGTTGACCTAATTCAAGGGGGCTATTTATGCAAGACATGAAAGGTTTAAGCAGACCCACCTTCTGTTTCTTGGGAATGCGAGTAGAGGGAAGGCAGGAGCGATCGGTTGTTGTCCACGAAGAGTCGGTAGTAACCATTCACCAGAGTCACCATGTCATAGGCGTCGTCGTGAGTTAGCAGTAACACAATGGGCTGCGGTGAAACGAAACACACGTCAAAAGTTAGAAGGCCCGAAAGCTCAAGTTTAAAAGGGAGGAGACTCAGCCGTCTCTCGAGTACAGCATGTCTAGCATGGAAAGAGCCATGCTTTGCAGCTTTTCCCAAGCTTGGATGCAAACACATGGTCATCGATTCCTGCATGAATGGATGGGGAGGGCGGCAGTTATTAGGTGTGTTTTGAGTGCATCCAGCAACCACTTATCAAGCACTGATTAGTCTGCTTGGTAACCAATGCACAAAGTACATCCTGGGCACCAGGCAAAATCTACCAGTGTTTGCCAAGTGGTTACCCGATGGCTACAGTTAGAGCCTGGTCAAGGCCATTAGGTTAACATATGCATTCGCCAAATAAAATGACCTCATTTTACAAAAAACAACAAAGAACTAGTTGTACCATAACATTTGCAGCACTAAAAGAGAGGTCTTTTCGCAACAAAATTTTCTCAGATACGAGCCAGAGGCACTGTAAAGGGGGGGTGGGATTCCGACAGCCACGCACCTTCTCGTTTTTGACGTGCAGCTCCACCCGCAGACAGTCCCCGTTCACCATCAGCGGGATCAGCTGGATGTCGGTCACCTGACTGAAGTCGGCCAACTGGGATGTCACGTTGTCCCGCAGGCTGATGACCTCTGCGATGCCCCACTTGGGGCCCACCAGCACCGTGCAATTGTAGTCCGCCAGTTGGTCACTGTCAACATCGGTCTGCTGGGAAAACAAGAAAGCACATCCAAAACCCATACAATGTGTACCGCACTGTATTTCGCACGTACGGCATCAAATACCCTGCAATCTAGAAAAGTCCCAAGAAATCACACCCCACATGTAAACATCCACAATGAGGAGCTGCATTACACATCTACGAGTAAACCACTGACTCTACAGAGGAAGGAACTCGGTAAATGCACACAGCAGACAAAACAATTTCAGAAGCACTGAATCCGTTTGCTTCCAGTCCACGTGATTTGCAAAAGCTGTACCGACGGGCAGTAATGCAGTTGCTCATTTTCTCCAAGATACTGGAAATCTTCTTGATTTTCAGTTGCAGTGTTTGTTATTTAACAGTGACAATAAAAACTGAAAATCAGAGTGTTGGGTAACTACTAAAAAATTGCTCTACTACTACATAGTCTGGTTATGAGTAACTGAGAGTGAACATGGACAGAGTAAGGCCTCTGCCATGATTCATTTGAACAGCTTGACTTTGTGATTCCACTTGAGACTGGCCAGCACATGATAAACCTGCAGAGACTTGACAGCAACTCCAGTAAAGTTTGGAATAAAAAAAATTGCCTGGATAGTTGGCAAACCGCATCCATGGACAATTGTGTGCCAGCCAAACAGATAAATTCCACCTGGATTTGAGGAGTTGTATTTCTGAAACTCTTGGAAGGCTTTGCCAAGGGTTCGGGACTGTGACAAACAATGCACATGAGAAGTAAACAGTTGATGTCATTACCACCATGGTTCCAGTGAAGTAGGCTCCTCCGAAGGAGCGCAGGTCACAGACTATCTTCAGGTAGTGCAGCTTGGCCTGCAGTTCAGTCAAATGCTGTAGGGGGAGAGAGGCACATCATTAGTAATGTGAGATCCAAGTGTCTCCGATACCATTATGGCTCAACCCTAATATCTATCTTTGGTTTTTGCCTGTGCTGGATAGTATGAGAACACCTCACTTCGGGCCTTGATAGAATGGAAGTCTACGGCAGGATCCTGCCTAGCTGACTCCAGTACCCAGTTATGACCTGCGTGGAGATATACTGATGTGGACCTGGAACGGGGTATGCCCAGAGGTGAAACGCATGGATGGCAGATGGATTTCCATGCCTGATTACCAACTACAAACAAAAGCCCTGGCATCAAATTAGCGCTTCATTTTAAAACGACGCGCCACCAATTGGTCAATTCCATTGCTACTCCTGACACATATGCAATTTGAAAATAAATCAACATAAACTGGAATTTGTTAAATGCCGCTACTACCTTGGAAAAATGGGCAAAACCAATACAACGAGAAGTCTATGTCTGTTTGAGAAAAGAGCATAGGGCTTTTTAGCACGTGAATGATTCTCAGGAATAAAAGAATAGGGTCACATGATGTCAATCTTCATCTAGAACACTTCTCTTTCTAACTATGTGCCAAGTTTCAACCTGATGGCACATTTATTTCAGCAGACATAAGGCTTTAAATGATGTGCCTTTCATGTCACGAGACTTGACACCTGATGACGTCGTCACCAGACATTGTCAAGTTGTGTCTAGAACACATCTCTTTCTGGCTGTGTGCAAAAGTTCAACCCTTTCCCGGCAACGCCCGTGTGTGGACTGGCTGTACACAGACCCCATCACCATTTACTTGTTATGAGTGGAAGCTCCATTGCAACCTACATGTACAGGTATGTACCTTCTGGCCTGGTGTGCACAAGCCCTGGCTCTGTTTGATGTGCTGGCTAATCAGTCTCTTCAGCTCCTTGGTCTTCATCTTCTTGGCAACCGAAGGGGGCAGGAATCGCTCCACTCCATCTTCTTTCCTGTGAGGACATGACAATGCCGGTTGTGAGTGACCATTCTGCTCACAATGGACGGATTGGACGCATTGGTATGAACAATTACAGACACTGACCGGTAGAAACACATGGTGGGAACCATTTCTTTTCTCTCTTGAAATTGATACCTATGTAAGATTAGAACCCTGGTAAGCACATTGATGAGGTATCCAGGGTATCTAGTCTAGAAGGCAGGAGGTCTTGGGTTCGAGCCCCACCTGAGTATTTTTCACTGGTTTTCTTGCAAACTCTCCCACATGTAACTCAGGAACAATAATATTTCAGAAGTGCTCATTATCACCAAAGTGTCTCACAAGGCTAACAAGCACGCCATGTCAGACAACATAAAAAAAGTCTTTTAACGTATGCACTTTCAAAGTTTTCCACCACTGGGAAAGAGGACCTGTCTAAAACTTTTCATCAACAAAAATGTGGATTGTCAAGGCGACTTCTTTCCAAGAACATGGCTTGCATGTATGACTGTGAACTGTCCATTCCTATAGGATTTATATCTACTCGCATATTGTAACAAAAAGCTTGACCATTGCTAACTGCAGTGCACCGCTGAACTCAGTGACATCATGGCTTTGACAGCATACTGTCACAACTGGCTAACTGGCTAACAACTCTAAGTTTCAGTAACAATTACTTACTCCAAGGCTTTCAGTGACACCTTGCCGGAATGCTTGCTGCTAAGGAAATGCTGCTGTATCTGTAAGGCTGCCAGCCGCACGGCTTTGTCACTGTCCAGGTCGCCAGTGAAGCGCTCACCGATGACGTCATTACAACTCTGCATTTCAAAAAGGAGGTCGAACGTCAAACAGAGGCTACAGAATACTGATCAGAGGGTGCATCTGAAGACATTTGCTAAGGTCAATGCAGAGAAATGTGATGGCTTTTAAATTTTGCCTTCAATGCCGTGAACCCGGTTCGAATCCCTACAAAGCCAACTAGAGGAGGTGGTTTTCAGTCTCTACTTGTATTTCACGGGTTACCCTGTAATGTTCATTCAGGTTTTCCTCCAGATGGACATGACTAGAACTGATGATAGCTTCAGTGTCTCCTTCCTGCTGGTTTCCCCAGGCTTGCTGGCTTACAGTACAATGGGCACTAAAGAGGAATCCTTTGTTTTATTCCTAGTAATCAGGAACCGTGGGGTCATAACATGAAATCCTACTATCTTTACAGCTTCCATCAACCTGACTCCTCCTCGAGCGACTTACTTGCAGGTAGAAGTAATCAAAGGCTTTGGGGTCCTTGCTGAGGAGGTCGTAGGCATCTTGGGGGGCAAAGGTCACTCGGAGAAGGCACTTCCAGTTTTGACTACCAGGCCTGCTGGCAATCTGAGGATGGATCGAGATAGGTAAGTGTTAGCTCTGACAAGAAGATTCTAATTGGACCAAAATGTTACAAAGCGGGTTTAGGACTAAGATCCAGTCCCCATTCATGACTTTGCAAACCACCATAATCCACCCTGACGATTGAGGCCATGGGGAGCAGTATGGCCAGTGAGGCTACGGCCATATCACAGTTGGTAAACTTGGCCTAATCGGATAGACTGATACCTGCTCTGATGACTATGCCAACTGCCTGCACAAATGGTCTTTTATTACTCCACCCTTTCGTGTTTGGTTATTCTACAGTGTATTAAAGAACTTGCCAGAAAGACATGATCTTCATGGCCTGGAATGATCAGACACCCATCTGCATGCAGCAGGAAGAATTTGTTAACATTTACAGAAAGCATGAGCAAAAATATGCGCATGTGATCAGACGAAAACTGTCATCAGCCACACGTCCACACAGTCGGAGGAAATATGGCTCACCTCCCAAACAAATGCAAACAACATACACGTATGTCTGATGATACAAAGCAAGGCCTAGCATCGGTGCCCATTGTGTGGCTTGCACTAACGTGGACAGTGTGTGTGCATATAGTGTTTACAAACTCAACCTGCATAGAAAGTATTCCGTTTTTTAAGCACTTTCAAACCCATTTTGGTCACTGTCCAAAGGGGAGGCTTGTGTGTCCTGGCATGGCAGGTAATGATCCTTAGTTAGGGCATACGTTAAGAGTGGGACAGATTCTGTCAAAGCCTGGAGCTACCCATGAGATGAGCCTGACAAGCAACTTTGAGCCTCATACGAGAATGCCTCAATGCCTCAAATCACCGTTCTGCATTTACAATTCCAGGAAAAGAACTTAGGGGCAAAAATGTATACGTTATTAAACAGAATACAGAGTCATCAATCTGTTCTCTTCTGAAAACACCCTGTCAAAACTGAGGAGACTTTTACATGTAAAATACCAACATTCAGTCTGACGGATCTCTTGTGAAACACCTCTCGTTAGAGCTGTCAATTGCTACTCTCACCACATGGCAACTGTTTGAAAAGCAAGTAGATTGCCAGAGCAGTGCGAGAAAAAAAATTATATGCAGCACCGTATTCAACATGAAGTGACTCCAAAAACGTACATGTAGCTAAAACTCTGGCTAATTTGTAAAATCTGAATAACCTAAGCAGCAGAGGAAGAATATTCTGCTTCCACTGGGAAGAGATAGTTTTCCTGTCAGTGCTATCGGTAAGTTACCTGGGTCAGTGTTTCATCTTCCTGGAGGATGGTGAACTTGCGGAATCGCGCCGAGTCCTCCATGCTGTGCACCACCAGGGAGAAGTGCTCCATGCTCTTCAAGGCCAGTTTCTCCTTGAGGTTCCTCAGCACTTCCTACAAGGCGAGAAGACAAACCAGACCCAGAACCCGCTCAGTAACAGACGTGGATCGTCAGACACTTTGTCTTTCCAGACAGGCCATCTTCTCAATGCTGCATTTTGCTCAGGTAAGGCTGGTGGGGGTTGAGGGGATTCTGAATGCCCTCCTCCCAAATCTGATTAGGGGTCCGCTTCGGCAAGTTGCTTTGTTCGTGGACGGAACAACAGCCACCCAACGAACAAGTTCAGCTTTTCAACAGGGCTAGCCTGACGTGAAGCGTGCTCATGGTCATTTGGAATAGCAATACGCGTATGCAAGGTCTGGCTCATTCATGCGGCCATATGCCAACTCACACGCATGCAATCTCCAACCTGAACTACCACCAACATGCACCGTTTATTCCATGAGCACAAGTAGATCCCTTGAGGGTAAAATACCACTGACAGAAATCTTTATATATGAAGGCAGTATGCCCCCCAGCGCATAATAAACATACATGCACCGGGATAACTGATAACCCACTGAAAATTGCTGCTTTCAGTTCCCTTTTTCAAAAGTGCAGAAAATCATTGCAAGTTCAGACGATCCAGTTGTTAAAAACAAAGAAAAATCATAGCTTTGTGTGCAAAAATGTCTCCATAAAACCTCCAGTTTACTTCATCACATGTACATGTACAAGCAGAATGGCTGTGTAGTGCTGAACAATTTGCAGGAGAAATCCCTGACTCTTCCCCATAACCACCTGACCACGGAAAGTGATGTCATTAGAAAACCCAAGAGAAAACAAAGTTTGATATTCTGTGGCATCTCATGCTGAACACAATTGGCAAAAAGACAAGATTTGCTACGCGAGGGTACCAGGTACACATCTCATTTAAGTGGTTCATTTTCATTTAGCAGTAGAAAGAAACCCTTAGGTAACAGCAATATAAAAAACTCAGTAAAATGATTATTTGTATGCAAAAAATACATCATGAGAATGAATAAAACATGGAATATAATCACTAATATGGTGCCATCACAGCACAGCAAGTAAAGTTTATGATTACGTTCTACATATTTCATGTACGCGTATGTGTTTCATGACTCCATGGCTTGGAGAATTCCATTTAAAAACTCAAAATCCAGACAACTCCAATTTTTTATTTATTCTCCAAGGTTCAATGCATCAGATGTACACAGCAACCAACGAAAACATGACTGCGCCACCAGCACGTGGTATGTGTGGCTCGGGCGCAGCTTCTGTGACTGATTTTTATCCTTCAAAGTTTGCGGTATATTAAGGCCGCCCGGCGCGCAAGCCACAGAGACATTTTTGAGCGTGAGGATCAACGTATAAGCTGCACCTTGCGTGTATATTCCAAACATTATGGTAATACGTGAAGCGGCACATTTTCCTACATTTCCATCAGGATATCAAACGGTGTGATACAGTGGGACATCGCTATAACGAACACCGCTACACTGAACATTCAGCTGTACCGAACATTGTCCTTGGCTCCCAATAGTTTGTGCACAAAACCTACCGAACATTATGCAGTTGCAAATCAACCGAGATTCGCCACAGCATGCATCAGAGATCGATCCTGAGTGGTAGCTTCACGACTTTTAGGATAAACTAAATATCAACTTTGTAACTCAAGATTTCATGAAAAAACAAAAATAATTTACAGATACATTTCCAGAAACTTCAAACGTGAATGCAACGGCAAAACATCACGAAAACAGCGGATCATAGTATCAAAAGAGGGTGCACTTTAGTTAGACAAGAGAGAGCGCTATTCAACTTGGCAACGAAATATTCGGCAGTTTATTTCCCTATACCGAACGACCGCTGTACCGAACATTTAGCGTGGACCCCGTTGTGTTTGTTATGGCGGCATTCCACTGTACATCAAAATGAGGAGCGGGCACACTCCTCCATATGGAAACTGAGAGCAAATGAACTGCCCTTAAACCCTGATTCGCAAGATCAAGTCACACATATTTCATCTCATCTTAATGGCCTCTCCGCTTTTCAACTGGCTGCTTGACTGTTTCATTTCCTTCACTCATAGCAGATTCCCAGAACATACAAAGTAAATCACACTAAAGTAGAACCATTAATCATCAAAGTACGTACACATTGTTTGAATGAGGTATCATAAAAGAGAGCTCTACTGCAACATAACCTTTTGTAAAATTCAGGACTGCTGCTGATAGCAATGCATAAAAAAAACCAGTGAGGATACACATACTGAAGTCCACTTCATTTGGTTTTCAATCAGAAAATTATGAGATACAATATAGACAAGAGTGTTCCCTCACAAACCTTTATCACATATTATCTATTGATCAGTAATCCAAGCCATAGAGAGAATGGGGAGGAGATTCTACCTTGACAGTTGTCTTGTTATCATACTTGAAGGACTTGGTCTGGCCATTCTCCAGGTACACCTTAAGGACACTTGGAAGGTAGACAAGGCTCGGCGATGATTTTCCCTGCGGACGAGAAAGGGGGGGATCACTAATTCAAAGATCTTATGTACTGAGCATGAGATCAATAATTCATCGCAGGATACACGGACGCTTGAACTCTCCAAACATTGCAATGATTCGCCTGCAGTTGCTGATAAAGTCAGAGCTGCCATGGGCAGAATCAATAGACATTGGCCCGGTACTCTTAAAGGGGGATTCTGGTCAAGTCGGTGGTGTGGCTTGTCGAAGTACATGTAGCTGGTTCCCTGAGATTCTCTATATATGTGGAGAGCTTCATCGCTGAAATTACTGTTAGCTATAAGCAAGAAACTGTTGTAAAATGTGTAACATTTTCACACCATTTCCCGCATTATTTTGACAGACCACTAGTAGCCTACTGGGGGAGGGAGCGATGGAGCCAAGCCCCTGCCATTCAAGCAGTTTCATTCTGCACTGATAATAGTACTTAATGCAATTTCAACAGTGTACACCTGGACTTAAGTTTAAAAAAAAAAATTCCACAGCCCTTAACAGCTCATGACCTCGGTGTCCTCGCATGTTTTATATTTTATTTCAATATCTGGTTAAATTTTAAAAAAAAAATTTAAAAGGCAACTACATGTACAAATTCTGCAATGCACTTTCACAAATTAAGATTTTATTTCAAAACTCTTGATTTTAGTGGCATAAATCACATTTCAATGTTATATAGCCATTCCCAATAATGTAAAGCTCTGGTAAAAATAATAAAAAGGCAGGGAATGATGAGTTGAGGGACTGTCGGTGTAAGGTATGGGAAAACAACATCAAGACTGATTTTATATACGCCCAACCCGAACTTGAATACAATCTCCATCTTTGAAAACAACCAACATTTTCTTGGGTGTCTGAGGGGTCAGGGAGCCACTCACCGGGGCCACGGCGGCAGCCTTGATGTTGTCGGCAAAGCGAACCCGGGAGGGCTTGGTCTTCAGCTTCTGCTTCTTGTTGGCGCTGAGGAAGGAGGACTTGAGGCCCGTCTTGTCGATGTGGGGCTGGATGACCGTCAACCGGATCACCTCCGACGATTGCCTGCAGCATCCATGCAATGGCAAACGAAACATCAGTAACATCCTCTACAGGGTTTGCGGCACACCTAAACTGAATTGGAAAATCCAGCTCTTCGAAAGGTTTAGCGGTCTGGTCACATCAAGTCTGGGAAACGAGACTTGTCTTCTGGCGCTACAACCCTCTCTTTACATTTATGTCATATTTTAATTTGTTCAAGACCTAATGCCCTATCCCTTTCCAGTACTGGGATTTTTGCTTTATTCCACAGGAGCACATTATTTCAAGTGCTTAATGCTGTTTCACGGGGCCCATTCATGAGCTTACCTCTTGGGTGGGATTCGAACTAGGGACTTCCTGCTTACTGTTGCCACGGTCCGTTCAAATTCAATGTAAATGTAGGACCAGGTTGGACAATCAATGCCAAGTAATTCAAATTTTAGTAATTACTTACACCGCAATGTACCACTAAAGAAGCTTAAGATTAAAAATTGAAAATACTGCCATGGAAAAAAATTAGTTTAAGTTGAACATAAAACCTGTATTTGTTAGCACTTCATTTTTACAATATTTTGTGGAGATTTAATTTTTTACAATTTACCTACCATTGAAGTCAGTGTCATTATAACATGTGTTTGTTAACCTTTTTTAAAGGGGAGGGGTTGTATATATTTTAGTGGTTGGAGTAAGGTTTGGTGGACAGCAACATGTACTTGTCTGTCGACACATCATCTGTTATTTGTATGGCACAATATTCATTCTAGTTTTAACACCTTTGTAAATTTTAGGGGGACATGGTTTTTCACTTCTGAAATTTATGAACAGAACTTTTATCCACCCAACAATGCTCACCAACTACACCATCAGAGCCGATCCTACCCTGCGCAAAATGGTACTTTCCAATTAGAAGAAAAGAAAAATCAAATGCACTTTTGAAACGAGTGACCAAACCCCATAAGCTCTACTGAACCACTCCAGACACTTGTGGTTTCTAGAGAGGACTTTCCTCTAGCAGTACCGCACTCAGCGGGAGGAAGGAAAAAGGTCTTTGAACAGCTGATGGACAGTTTCGCCAAAGCAACATTGATTTCCTCTTATGAAGCCAGCCCATTATGATGACAGGACAGCCCACTGTGTGCTCTGCCAGCGAGAGGTTGTGGGATTGTGGGGAGGTTGCAATAAAGGCCGGACACAGGCAGAATCCTTAAAGGTCACATTTCTCAAGTGTCATTTCCATTTCCAGAATTTTTTCAGCAGGTTACAAAATCATTTTTATTTCCAAATGGAATAAACAACCACAAATTGTCTGAGAGAGTGAACTCAAAGTTGCAAATAACCTTTCTGTGTAGTTTTTCTTCTTTTTTTTTTTACCCTTGCATCCCGTTGAGTTTCGTCTAACCACTCTGCAAAATTCAACAGAACAAAATGCTGCAGCATAGAGACCTATGAGGACAGCAACACAGTGTAACCATTGGCTTTGCCGCTCTGTGCACTAACTTCCGAACTGTGTGGTTACACGATAACACTGCCACTCAAACTGACAGCTACACCTACATGTACATGTACATGCAGACATGTAGCGCACCGGCCATGCAGTAAATAGCCCCTGTGGTGGTTTTAGGAAGAACAACTCGACAGGATACCGTAAGAAACATCACCGCCTAACAACCTTTGCCTTTATTTGCTGTAGCAGTTTCAAATTAGGTCCATTTGCAGAACAGGTCTAAAATCTGTGCTTAATTACAATGACCATTAATTGCATTTCATTCTATGCAACCACTGCTACATACTTTTGTGAAAATGTACATGTATGTATTTCGCAGTGCTGATGCTGTATCAATGTGACGAATGAACAAATCAATGTAGGGGGAGGAATATTTCATCCTGTCAACAAAATTCTTTCATCCGCAATTAAGGATTGCTGCATCGCCGCGACTGTACTTAACAGATTATTACTGGTCAACAGGCAGCATGAGGAAAAACAATATTTCATCCCCAGGAAAGATCTTGTGACTTCTTTTCTGTCAACAAGTCCTTTTCAGTGAACAACTTCAATGCATTTTGGTTTTCCAAATCTACGCTTAATTACAACGGCCGTGAAATACGTTTCATGCCATCAAATGCTTACATGTACAACGGAAGCATCTCCTTTATGCAGGCAACAGATTGTTTAATTCAATGCAGGATGGAACGCCCGGTGCCAGATGGAGTGCTCATTGCACAGAAAGTAAGGAATGTGTAGGCCGTGTGTGTACAAAATGGACCAATTAGAGGTCTACAGCAGTCACTTAGAGCGACAAGGTCCTTGTGTTTGGAGCCCTCTCCATCATATGTCAGTATCCCCTTTACAGACAACCTCAACAGGCCAGAGAGTCATCTGGGCTGGGTTAGGATCTGCATGGGATACTGCAGTGCTGCAAGACCAAAGCCAACTCAATGGCCCAAGGACGGAGATGCCCAAGCTATGGCTAAGTCTGAAACACTTGGCTGTGGCTACAGTTTGCACACAACTCAGTGGGAAGTGGTTGCAGCCACTACTTTAGACTCCCATAAATTCAAAGCCATAGTCAAGTGATCTAGACACACATGTAGCTTTGCTCTCTTTTACACACACATGTACATGTACTCTTTTATTTCCAAAAATTGAAACTAAGGACTACACAACGATAAATCTCCATGAACTTGGACTGAAATACCGGTAGTTGAAAAGAACAAACACTCCTTGTGGAAACCTACGAAAGCTGGATATATTCCACTTGATAAATTTCACTGGAATTGGTCATTGTCCTCGGTTTCAGTCCTACGGGGTGAGTTTTCATTTGTATCAAGTAAACGTTTGTTCTTTAGCATTTAATGGGAAATCATTTTGTTGTACCACAGACATGCAATATTAATTTTGTTGAACAATTTGTTCATTATTACAGAGAAGCCATCTCTCCCTTTTCTCCTTTCTGAAAAAAACAGCATTTTCTGATTTCATTCCAGCACAATAATGTTCAGACTAGAAAAAGAAACTCACTGCATTAAGGAGGCAAAGTTGCATTCAATAAATTTCTCTGCAATACAATGCTGTGGCAATCAATACAATTTTCAGAAGCTCTGAGGAAATTTTGTTTTGTCACATAACACGCATGACGTGCATGCCCACCCACAAGTATGTGCAAGGTATAAGACTTTGTGTAATGGTAAGGTCAAAGGTTAAAATACTACCAGAGATAAAAGGTCGAGAATATCTGGAGCCACACAAACGAGGCTTGTTCATATTGTGTGTCTAGAGCTAGATGTACACTGTAGGTCTAAGTCTTTGCCTGTTGCAGAAAATGCAGGGAACACTGCTGATAGTGGACACAGCTCTGCAAGTCCATCTAAAGGGCTTGCAGGGCTGCCATCTTGCAGGCCAGTGCTTTAGTTCCACAGGGTTTGCACAAAAGAGGTTTCCCTGTGGAACCAAAGAACTGCCCTGCAAGATGGCTAACCACGCAAAGCCTCTGTTGGATACGGGCTTACCTTATTCTTTCAATGATGTAGGGCCCGTCCTTCATCATGACGTCTTCACCGTTCAGTCGCAGGATTTTATCCCCGGGCAGTAGCTTGCCCACTGATGGACCCCCTGGAAGCAAAACATTGATCAATAACCGATAATCACCAACTGGTAATCAATTCACAAGGAGGCTTGCCTGCAACACAAAGGGGTGGGAAGAGGTTACTTGTTTGGGGAATTATTTTGAAACACATGGCAAAAAGCAAAATAAATTGAGCCAATGTGAGGCCAGAAGTATCACTCAGTCCAGTTACAGGTGCCAACAACAGCACTCTCTTGGAGAGGGGACCTTCATAGGTGCTACTGACAAATTGAAAAAAGACATTTCGCTTGGCTGAAAAGTACCATCTAAGTAGGAATTTTCATTGTCAACCCTTAGTGTTCAGTTTGTATAGCATCTGCATTTACATACATATATACGATGTAGGGTACATCCCAATGATCAAATTAATAATTACAGAAAGGACAATTTGTCGACTGCACAGATGGAAAGTCCCAACGCATGATCAACAGGAAGGCCCCCAGTAATGGTAGACTGAACGTGTCAGCATCTGTTCAGGAGAATTTCCAGATACCGTCTATTCTGTACGACTGGCAATTTTTCAACCGTTTATAAGCACATGGAACTTCCGATCACTGCTATGCTGTGTCCAAATAATCATGTTGACTGTTTTCACAGCACCAATTACACAGAAAATCTTGAGGGTTTCGCCAGATGGGACTGAAACCGCCAGCCTCAGGGTTTAACAGCCTGAGACCAGATCAACTGGCCATGGCTAGGAGTACCACACATGTCTATAGGTGGTGGTCACAGCCGCTAGATAGTAACTTCCTCAAGCGCACATAATACTTCCAGCCTCGGTCATAACATGGGGAAGCAAACATCACTTCTCCGGATGCTTTGATTGCTGCTCCTGCCAGCGGCTGGCCAGCAAATTTGCACCACACAGATGGTGCCGCACCAGCAAATGTTTTAATCATTACTTCTAGATCTTACACCCCACAAACAACAAACAACTTGTTCTGTCATTTCCTTGGGAAGAAAACAACAGGAGGGACACAGCAACCAGTGGGCAAGCTACCGGCTTGCTTTCAGTAAAGTGAGATACGCAATGCAAACCAGTCATCTAAGGGCTTAGACTTTACACCACACATGCGCCAAAAAACTTGGTAAGTCATTACATGTATCTTGACATAGAAGAAAATGAAGGACACGGCATGCAGAGGACAAGCTATTTGCTTTCAGTACAACAGGCATAGGGGACTGAACCCCCCTCCGCTCTGAGACAAAAATAGAAAAAAGTAATGATAGGGAAAATAATTATATATAACAGGTTTTGCCCTTACCCAATGTATATTAATAAGCACTGTATGCTCAGTGCTGAGCATACAGTGCTTATTAATATACGTTGGGTAAGGGCAAAACCTGTTATATATAATTAACATCTCCCCAACGCAAAAATACATCTTGAAAAAAGGGAAAATAATAAAAATAATTTAAGTAAGTGCACTAATACCATTGTAAAAATGTTGGCCCTGTACCGTAAAATGTTTCATCATCATTTCCAGTTGTCTGCAAAAATGAGATTAAAAAAAAAACATCTCCGGCCTGGCCCCCCTCCCCCCTGGAAAAATTCCTGGATCCGCCCCTGTACAATGAGGTATAATCTAAGAACCTTGAACAAATCAGGTGTGAATGGAAACCTGTTATCTTTCCAGACGGTGCATAAAAGCACTTATAAGATGTACAAGATGTCTATTTGTTCCTTCATCAGCAGCAGACCAAAAATCCAAGGACGGAACATACATGTATACCGGTATTTTCTGGCGATGCTGGATGAGTCTCTCTGCTCTGAAACTTAAAGCAAGCAGTGTGTGCCCACATTGAATGTATTTTCCAATCAAGAAGTTTCTTTGAGAATGCACAATGTGTACGTAATCTTATCAGGATATGCGTCAATGGTACATGTATATGCACATGTACACCGCCATGTATGCAATGGACATGCTGAGCAAGCACTCAAGAAACGCTGCTGTCTGACATTATACAGCACTTGCAACTTTTGGCAAAGTTTCGCAGAGCCATAGGGCACAACTTGTGTGAGGTGGTACACAGGATCAATCCCACATAAGGATTAAGGTGCTTGTGTCCCTGGGCAAGACAATTTTACCACCATAGGTCATCTCTCCCAGCAGTTTAAATGACTCTCTGTTCAGGTAGAGAACCAAATAAGAAGATCTAGAACTTGAAGTTAGAACTTGAATATTGTGACCTGTTAAACAGGGGGTAGTGCATATCTAATTGTGAAGCACTTTGAGATTAGTATTGAGTTCCAATTTTTTTGCTCAAGTGATGCACATTAAGAACTTTAGGGATGTTTACTAAATTGACAAATCCAACATAAAGTACTCTGGTGTGCCCCCAAACCAAGCGATGCAGAGTATTTAAGGTGCAGCATGTTCACGGTGCATATCTGCTCAAATGATAAACATAACAAGCCTTTCTGGGTATAAAAAGTAGCTGGCTTCAAGGAAATGAAAGCAAAAGTCCACCTCAAAACAATAAGGAGCCCACCTGTCAGTGTTGTAACATCTTTAAATGAGTGCTTAAATGTTAGAGAAGATTTGGCTCGATGTACTGTACAGGCTGTTAATTTTTAGCTCTGACTAACCGATCAGTATTTGCAGCATTGCATTTCCAAGACAAGTCGTTAATATTAAGAGAAAAATAATAAGATTAATGTCACTACTAATCAAAGAATCTAGCAAGCTACTAAGCTTGGCAACCTATGCAGCTCAGTCATGTCCGTGACTGCAGACCACTTCCTCTCATTGTGCCAAGATGTGTCCCTTGCCCGTCGGGCTGGTGTTACCACACGAAGCCGACGGCGGCAATGCCTTGTTTGCCGAGCGTGACACACGTAGGCGGGCTCCGATTCTGAGGCTCCCCGGTCGTCTTTTCGCAGAGAATTCATCCTATGAATGTCAGAGTCCGGATGGCTCATTACACGGATCGTTTGGGGCAGGCACACAATGCGCACGGAGCCTGCTTCGCTGGCCAAACATCCGACTGTGTACTGATCTTGTTAATTTCTATTCACCTCTCCGACTTTCTCTTCTTCCTCTGTATTCAATTTGGACAGTTCTTAAGAAAAAAAAAATGCCTACCGGTATGTAGACTTCTATTCTGAGCTTGAACTCCTCAATTCCATTTCTACTTTTCTACAAATGCAGAATAAAATGAATGTCCACTTCAATAGTCAAGGGTGTGTCAACGGCAAGCAGTACCGGGAGCACTGCAAAATGTCGACTCTCTCTGCAATTTGTCAAGAAAATGTCCATAATCCACAAGTCTATCAACATCCTAATCTGCAGTAATTCTTGCCACTTTGGGGGAAACTACAGAGCAAAATTGGGGCAGCTACATGTACATGTAGTTCCATGTACGCATTTTATCTCTACGGGCTGGGTTGGAATCTAACCCAGGTTGACGTGAAATAAATGTCCAGTTCCTTGCCTGACTCCTTGAGTTTTTCTCGGAATATTTATTGAGGGGAGTTCCTCCCACCTTTCAAACTGAACATTTCTTCCTTGTCTTCTCCTCCAGGGTACACTTGAGAGAACAGCTAATTGGTAACCTACCCCAGTATAAGACTACCATGGCTAAACAAAATGGCAAGGACGAGAAATCCACAAAAGCCCTATGATGGGCAGACTTGGAAAAGGATTGTGGTTTTAGCATCAGAATTTGGAACTGGGATGCCCGCATTTTTTTCAAAATCTGCTTTCCAAAATTTGTAATTTGACCATTGTACAGGTAGACTCCTAAGGTACACTCACATGTATACCGACATACAATACTTTAAGCACAATGCTACTTCAGTTAAAAAGCAAAACAGAACTCTTTTCCCCTCCGGACCTGGCTACCTAATTTTCCCGAACCGAAAGATGAAACTTAAATTTCACCGTTTGGAACATTAAAAAAGCAGGAAAACTGGGAGAGGTGAAGTATATTAGCATACATGTATGAATGTGGCAATCCGTTTCACAGCAAAATTGCGTACACTAGTTTGACAAAAGAATAACACTCTCGATGACCTTTAAATATAATCAATTTCTTCCCCTGAACAATAAGGGATGTTCCACTCAGCAATGACTGGCATAATGTTCTTCTATCCCCTTGATTTCAGTTCTTGATTCTATCAAACATCATTACATGAAGTCTAAGTTCTGGGAAATGAGCAGCTTCAGATGACATCATTTGGACTTGTGAAATTCTCAATTTCTGGGTGAGATTCGGAAGCGAACTGGGCCCAATGTCACGGCACTGCAAAGCACATGATTTTACGCTTACAGAGGCTCTATCAGAGCAGTAAGCACAGAAGAAGGCACGCTTAGCTCGGAGAAATATGTGCTTAACTTGGCGATGTACATGTACCGGTAATAATGGGAATCTCCGTGCGTGCGTATGTATGCATAAGCACAAGCACACCAAGCAATGCTATGAAATAATGCCTACAAGCAAAATTTTCTGCTGCAGTAAGCATGACTTTTCCACTAACTGTTAAGTACATGTAGCTCCATGAAATTGGGCCCTGCAAGGCTAAATGTTTTGAGCACACAGGCTTTCTCTACCGGGCAAACCATCAAATTTCTTTCTAAAGTTTGGAGATCGGTTTTTACCCTTCGAAGACGTCATTACCTGAACACTGCATTAATGCTGGCATTCAATATTCAGTATTTATAATACATATACTTATAAAAATCACAAGTTTGGAGCCGGAGAGCAGGTGGCCCACAATGTGTGAAGGCACTTCAAGATAATTACCCTAAGTGATAACGAGGCGCAATTCCTTTTTTTCTTTCTAAATCAGTTCCAATTCAATATAGTAGTCAACACAGAGAGACCATACCAGGGGTAGGCCTTGGGCTCATCTTTCCAGAACCATTTTGACATATTAGGAAAGGAAATTTAAGCTTTTTTTTTTTTTTTTTTCAAAAGTAAGCGATAGAAAATTTTGGCTGGCCAACCAAAGTCATTCCCCAATTAAACTACCATTATGAGTTTTCTAGAATGAGAGTTTCTGAATCTCCATCTCTGGCTTTATGGCGGCACAGCATAAAAATATATATAAAATATATATTTTCCCTCCCATCATTTTGCAACAAGCACCCCTTTTTCATGACATCCTTCACTAACACCACCAAAACATCTGAAATCTTGCTAACATAAAGAGCGCCACCTGCATTCCCTACTGTCTGTTAAAGAGATGTCATCCAGCTTGGGTACCTTTCACCACAGATCTCCGAGTACCCCTTTTCACATCAACCACCTCCCAAAGCAGCCAAAATGACTTGCTACACAACGGTACTTCATCGATCCCACCCCACTCCAATTTGGGACTTCTAACTCAATGAAAAGTCTTGTTCTACGAGAGGAGATGGAAGTATTGCCGTTTAGCATAAACATAATGAACTAATCACAGGGATACCATGACTGTGATGACACTACACTCACGTCCATAAACATGAAGAGGTCACACATTTGGCAAATAAGGACACCATATTAGTCAATGAGGCATGTAATGCTTGTGCATTACCTGCCCATAGTGTAACTGCACAACTGACTTGTGTTTTTGATTGCTGACTTACATTTAGTCCACAGGCAAGGGGGAGATTTGGAAACAAGCAAATCCCAATTACAGGACTGTACCCACCTTCAGTGACCGATCTGACCACCACAGGTTTCTCGCTGCCGGCGATGAAGCCAAACCCCAGCATCTTGTCCCGGACAAGCGTTACTTCCCTCTCCACCGGCGGAATGTCCTCCACATCATAGGGATCCTCTCGGGTGGTGGTGCAGCTCACATGGCTGAAAGAAGACAACAAATATGGCTTTACACAAGCACAAATTAGATGAGAACCAGTCCAGAGGAATATACATGTATATCTATGATGTTTGGCTGGTAACCTGTTCTTGCTGAGCAAACATTTTCCTTGCTAATGCTTTAGCTTAACTTTCATGGTGTAGCTGCTCTCCAGAAATTGGTCCTGGGGTTGAGTTTGCAGCCTGCTAAGCAGAGAAATTAGCTCAGCAACAATCAACAACTTTCAGTCCAAATTGTTATGCACTATGTTTTTGTTGTGGCAATCCAAATTTAAACCAAAGACAAGTCACACACTTGAATACAAATAAATTTCAAGGCGCAGTCCACTACGATGCCCAACATTTGACATTTGAGTTATGCTCACTGAGACGACTTTATTCCTCCTACATGTACATGTACACATGTGCTTTCAACTTCCACCAGTGCTGATCATAACTGGCCACAAAATATACATATTGCTTGCTTGTCGAGACTTCTTTCAACCGCCATCTATCAATTTGGAGACATTTACTGATCCCAACGTTGAACAGGGAAAGGTTTTTTATTACGCATACTAATACATGTCTGTGCATTTCGTCCGTTGAATCGACATGTTTGTAAAATGGCTTAGTGGTCAGGCTGAAATTAATTTAGCATGCATGTTCCCATATCTTGTCACATACATAATGAGTTCGTATTATTAGGGCTACATGACCTGCCAATATTCAGATGAATCCGACATAGCCTAAGGTGTAACACACTCTCCTATCTGACATATTCATCTATGCACGCTTCCATTATAAATGGAGCAAAGCTGAAAATGAAAGCTCAGGGAAGGCTGCCAGCAGAAACTGTTTATTTCTTCTTTCACTACTTTGCTTTGCTTTTCATTTCTCTTTTAAGGTAAAACCATTTCTAGCAATGCCGAATTTGATTTATTAAAGTCTACAGTGTAAACTTTCAAAATCAAGTAATTTGATTAAATTCACAAACCGCTATGTCTTAGCCTTAGTGAAATGCATGCAGTATCACGCCTACATATGGACCAGTCCATGTCCATGTCCCCTCAGAGAAGGCTCTTCCTTCAGAGACATACATGTATACTAAGGATAAAGTGCATACCAGGTATTAAAGCGAACTCTAGGTTTTGACAAAAGTAGAGTTCACAAGAATTTGTTAATTAACAGGGTACTTATTAGTACAGCGTACTAATGAGTGAGAAACATGCCATGTACAACAGTACATGCATTTATTTTGCATGCTACATGTGTACATGTGGGAACGAAACGCTGGCATTTTACCTTGCTCTTTGTGCAAAAAAGCAGTCTCATTTTGTTTGTGATCCAGCTCCACAGAGTTTAGGCTTGATTAAAGATCACTTCATTAAGGGCATGGATTTAGTGGTTTTACACTGTAACGCTATAACAACTAACGTTTCTAATCTCAATAAAATACAGTACATGTAGGCTTGCAGAGATGTAAAAGGTTGATGTACACTGATACTGTGCCGGTACTTTACCATGTTAAGCCATGGAGGAAGGACACAGGAGTTTGAACTGCCCAGGCTATAACATCTGGCCAATTACCGCTTTATGGCATGTCTGGTACGTCCACAGCCTGAGCACAGCGAATGCTTGCTACGCACCACCTGTTTCACAACCATAAGCCCCTTTTGTACCCCATGATCATCGCCGCAATGTTTTGCTGGTAATCTACTGTACATCCTTAAAACACTGTGCACTCCAGTAGTTGAATATTCATGCCATCGTTGGTGCTTGGTATGATCTGGAAACAATGTCAAATTTAATGCTTGCATAGTTGCTTGTATTAGGCTGTGTGCCCTTAGTGTTCATGTGCAGTCATTGCACTTATCGAACGCTTTCTTCTGGAGTTATTTTGGGAATGAATAGCCAAGTTGTTTATAAGATATTGTGTTTTACTTAAATCATATTTATTACGGCATTTCTACAAAAAGGTATTTCATAAGATCTCTTGAGCACTACTTGTGATGAAATAGTGCATTTGTTTGTTATGATTAACTGTCCAATGGTGGTCAACATGTAGTTGGCCAGTCTTAGCCAATTTCGTACAAAACCTTTGAAAACTGATGTTTTGGAGAGACAAAATAAAATTGCAAACATTGCATAGATAATGGAACAGGGTATCAAAGTAAAAAAATTATTCATGATGGCAAAAGCAGATCTAATGTTAGAGATTTATATATAAATATTAATAGAATATTACGGGCCCCACTTGTATGGTACTTTGAAGTGCCAGAGTTCTAACTCCTTCTGTGTCCTTCCTCCACGGTTAAACTCTGAAGCAGGCAGTTTAAATGAAGTAAAATTAAATCATGATTATAAATTTTTTGCATCAAATGCACTTACTGAATCCAAAACACTGATTTAAATCGAAACAAGTGGACAGAATTGAGCATAAAAATCTTGCCAACCCAGATTTTGTGTAACACGTGTGCTTTCATACTTCCTTAATACTAGGAACTGGAAGGCTCACAGAGGGGGGATTTGCTGTTTAAAATGTGCAAAACCTGCAAATGTTTCCAATCAGGAAAAAAAATTCGAAAATTCAAACTTTTTTTGCCTTTTCACCCAAAAAATTAAAAATGTTAATTTAAATCTGATTTTTAAAAAAATCAATTGATTTAAATTGCAATTTAAATTGGTAATTTAAATCAAGGTGATTAAAATCGGACAACTTTGCAGTTTTTAGTAGGCTGCAGCAATAGCAGTGAAAACTTCCCCATGAGCACACCATCCCCTAAAGCGCTCTCGGTTTCCAAACCCCAGTATGGTTGATTCCCCCAAAGCTCCCCTGTGTAAAGAAACCCAAATCAGGGCGGGATTTGGAGGAAATTGCTGGTCCCAAATCCAACAAGGCAAAATCATCCATCCCCCAGTGACACCGGCAAGCAATGGTTTTACAATCTGTGATTTTCCCCACTTCTCAGATCGCACGGGATTGGACATTCCTATTCCCTTCCAAATGTCATGGACATGCTCTATCAAAGGAATCTGTACCCTGAGCACAATATCAAGGTCTTAGTTCACACATTCCCTTCTCTGCCATGGCAACATGGTACTTGACAGGTACCAGGGACTTGCCATGCTTATGAGCAAGCACACACACACACCAAGGAAGTGTTGGACGGCATCCTGTGAAACACCCCAACCAACTGTCAGACCAACAGCCTCACCCATTCATCAGAGCAGGTTGTCTGAGAAAACCAGAGTGTACACGACTTCCATTTGGAAAGTGAAATTCAAGCACGTGGACTCTGATTGTTGCGTGCATGTGCTATTTATGTAACACTGATTTTGAGGACACAGCAAGGCTCAAACAGCCAGGAGGATAAAGGCCCTTTGAAATGAAATCTCGGGACTGTGCAATACATGCCACTTTTGAAAACACTTCCCACCCGGTGAGCATGAAAGTGTGAAGGCCGGTTCATACTTAACGTGAGTTCGAAATTGAGGCCAATTTGACATCACGGAAAATTTGTGGCGAAATTTCATTACAGTTGAAATGTGTTCAACCTTTAGGAATTCCCAATGCAAATGTTTAATCTGATGTCACAAATTCATGTTCGTTTTTACTTTTGCGAAGTATGAAGCAGCCTTTAGTTTATTTGCTTTCTGCACCTGTCAGATCAACATTTCAAAGAAATCATGTTGTCCAACTCCTTCCATACTTGCCCTTTATGCCTGGGACAATAAGTTGAGACTACATTGTACGTTACGCCCTTACACCAATGTGCACGTTCACACTATTCTCAGTGTGATCCAAGAGTTGCAAGGAAATAGCAAGCTTACACGAGTAGGATTCTAACCTATAACTTCCAGCTTACTCGTACAAATGCCAATTATAAAAAATCAGCATAACGGTAATATCTTCCTGTTCCCAATTCATATCCAATGCAGTACCCTGTATTTCTGAACCAAACCCCCCCTTCCACGACTGTGAGTTTAAACACCATTTTCTAGCACTTCAAAAACATTTTAATTACATGCTGCAAATGCAGATAACCATGTTCAAAGTCACCGAATCATCTATACCAAAAAAGAGTGGATCCCCAAATGTCATAAATTAAAATTGGAATGAATAAATATGAGTTGTTTTTTTTAATTGACACATCAAGGAAAACCTCCGAACTCAAGGCAGGCAGACAACTGGGACTTTGACAAAAACAAGTGAAATTTCAATCTTTACAAGATTTTGTACAGTCTTTTTCAATTTTCAATGGCATGAATGCGAAGTGATAAATGAGGAAATCAGCTGATCGGAGGAAAAGTTGCATGTCCGTCAAGGTAATACCAGAAAAATTAAAACTCCCGTGCAGGCACTACAATAACTATACACACCAAGAGCATGCTTCATTACACTCAACCTTGAAAGGTTATCAAACACTTTTGATAGAAGGGCACAAAAAAGTACTTCCAAAAGGAAAATTCATTACATGGACACTTTAAAGAAGGAAGGGTTGCATCAACAAGCAAAGTGCAAATACACCAGCCAGCCGATCTTGTTCACATTTCCAGTGCATACCTTTGCTAGCACATGTACAGGAGCATTCCAAAGGGGCAGGGCCAAGCATCCCAGGTGATCATATCATAAACGGTTACATACACATCATTGCGCTACGATTTCACCCTTGCCATGGCAGATCATCTCTGGCTGTCCGCGTGTGCGTCCCTTGCTGCCGGTATCCCATAAACATGTCAAATTTTGTCGCACCAGGGAGAATACCTGGGGAAGCTGCCAACGGCCCAGCGATGGGGATTACTAACAAATTTAACAGGGAGAAAATCCCCCTAAATGTACCAGTTCCTTCTCGATAACGGGATACCACATTGCAAATTTGGGTTCACTGGTCAGGTCATTTAATCTCTGCCTTTGTTCAAAAACCTGTCACCAAATTGTCTGGAAGGGCAGCTAAAGTTTTTTCAGGGAGCCCCAGAAATTGTAAATTTCTTTATGTGACCCTTTC